TCATCGTGAGACCTAATGAAAAGAGCTCTGTGAAAAAAGAAAAACACATAATTCAGTTCATTAGGTCCTGGCCAGGCCTGCTGCCATGGGCTTACTCACTCTCTCTTTCCCGTTCTCTGCCTTTATGAACCCCCCATAAACCCCTGAAATCGTCAATCACATTGACCTTTTATGGGCCTGTGGGCTTGGCAAATCAGAATCATTACGGACCATCACGTGACTTGCCCATTTATACGAGAATTGGCAATGCGTTTGCCGCTTGCCAATGCGTGGGTGTGTCTTGGACAGGGAGGAGCAGCAGCAGCGGCAGCAGCAGTACCCTGAAGGCAGGCATAAATCAGTTTTAATAGTGCAGCTGGAAAGCAGTTGATTCGATTGTCTCCTGACGGACTGTGTGACTCCTGAGACTCCGGATGCAGGGGCTACGCATATGGGATCTGCTCTTTAATGAGATTTTTCGCCTCCGAAAGGGCAGAAAGCGAAACCAATTTTATTTGCCATTTCTGTAGCTCGCTCTCTCCTCTCTGTGTGTGTGTTTTTTTGTTGTGTTTTGGTAGCCGCTGTCAACATTTCTTTTGCGCTTTTGTTTTGGCTACATTTTTACTGTCGCATTACGTGCAACATTTGCTCGTTGATTGTTTTGGGGGACAGCGGCTGCTGCTGCTGCTGCTGCTGCTGCCTCTGCTACTGCTGCCCCACCCCACTAAGTTCATGCTTCATGCCTCCCCATGGCATTGCATAAATTTGTCTAGCTGTTGTTGTTGTTGCTGTTTTGCTGTTGTTGCCTTCAGAATTTATGCGCTTGTGGCGCCCCAAATGTGGTGCGGCGCTTTTGTTGGCTAGGCGAAAATTTGCTAAAATAGCAACTTCCCCTTGGACCAGACCAGACCAGACCCGACCAAACCCAAACCCAAAACCCAGCCAAAAAGCAAAAACTTTTGCCCATAAAGCACATGTGACTACCGCATTGGCATTTCCATATGCAGAAGAGTGTGTATTTGTGTGTGCACTCTCATGTATTTGATTATATTTTGCAGTTTTTGTGCAACCATTTGACAGTTTAAGCTTACACCTCGCTCCCTCGGTGCCCCTACATAATCCTAACCCATAAATCATCCGAGAGCTAAATGCAGACATTGTTCGGTGATAAGAGGCTGCTACACGACCAGAGACAGGTTCTGGGCTCTCATCATTTATAACAAGTGTTTCGTTCATGGTAATCACAGCCATGCTAGGTACATACAGCCAAGAGCCATGTAAACTTGGCCAAGAAGTTTGTCAGTCTTAGGTGGCGTAAGCCGGAAGAGGAAGAGGTGCACAGTTTCAGCAGTGCCAAAAGATAAAGCCTAGATTGATGGTTGGCTCTGGACAATGTTGGAGATGCTTCTGAGATTTATGGGAGTAGCTTAGAATGCAGAAAGAAACTTTTAAGATTTAATGCTAATGCTGAAAGCTCAAAGTAAATGTTAAATTCATTTTGTGATGATGGAAGTCCGCATAGACACATCAAATTATTACTTAATTTTCTTTAAAAATCTCTACCTAATTTGGGTTTGAAGTTTTCGATGTAGTTTTAGTTGTTCCTTATTTTTAAGAATATTTTTTCACTTCATATATGTCTTAAAAATAATAAAAAAAATCCCTGAAAGAGTATTTCAGCTTCGACTTTAACTCCAAATTGTTTGCCGTTTAACTACTTGTGCATTTACTTCTTTTTTCATAATTAATTTATCACTTGGCTTTCATTTTTATCGCATCGGATGTCAGAGGACCTTCATTTCCCGTGGCCAATGCGAGGAGGCAGAACTCGAGCCAGACCCAAACGAGACCCGTAATTGCTTTAAATGCTATTACGACACTTACGCACAGCAGGGCTCGCGCAGACACAGACACAGTTACAGATACAACTACTAGATGGAGTAAACCCCAGCAAATGTCCACAGTCTGGCCGAGGGCCAAGGGCAGTGTCTGTGTCTGCCTGTCTGTCTCTCTCTTCAGTCTTTAACTTTGGCTTGGCCTGCAATTGTTTTTCGCTTTAAATAATTAAATTAAAGTGGGCATTCTACTGATTGAAGGAAAGCCTACTCCAAGCCACCGCCACTCGATGCAATTATGTTTGGTTACTCTTTTTTTTGGAGAGTTTTGCGAGCATTGAACCCTAACCTGGTGCAATCAGCGTAATTAAGGCAGCAACTGCCATCGCCATGGATTGCTTATAAATCATTTATTGCCAAGACATTATCGCCATGGAGTGGCACGTAGCACGTAGCATGCTACGGCTATCTACTCTGTCTTCTTGTACACCTTTTATGCCCCCTTCCTCCCACCCCACTGCAAACTCGTTTCGTTTGCCTGCAAATTATGCTACAGAACGCGTTAGTCTATGACAGATTGTATCTGCTAGATACAGCATAGCCCAGCCGATGCTGCTGCTGCCAGCAAAGCTTTCGTGTTGCACGTACGTACCGGATCCCTTCCCTTCCCTTCCCGCAACATTGTGGTGTCAATTTATGGCCCGAGTAAATTCTAAAAAGTGTCTGCATCGAGCTGGGGAATCGGTTTGGGATTCGGTGTTTGAGCCGGTCCGCTTGGTTGGCCAACATCTTGTGCAAATCTCATTTATTTGCGGCTTTTGCAGAAACACACACACACACATTCGAACTCGTATTTGTAGCTGCCACATACGTGTCAATGTGCCACTGACTGTCGTACCAAATGCACTTTTGATATATTGGCTCCGGGGTTATTGGTTTTCCATGGTTTTCCATCTGTCGTGGCATCAGTCTCGCATCTGTAGGCGATGCTCCCCACTATAAATTTCATCGCCTTTGACATGACAATCGAGAAATGTCAACATCCCATCCCCACCCTATGGCCAATGGGATACTAACTCTCAAATGCAGATCGCGTTTTCCCATCTGGGAGCATGCAAATTTGTTTAGGCGAATTGCGGTGCTGAAAATGAGATATTTTGCAAGAAAGCCAACCCAAAAAAATGCCATATAGAGTTGTAATATTTACACACAATCGATGGCTGTCATTTGTATTGAAGAAGTCTGTTCGCTCATTGGAAATTTTTGCAGGAAATGAACTACAAAAAGTGTTTTGGAATCCGTTTGCCCGCTTTGGAATTTGTTCTCTGTATCGCCTGCAGCTATCGTTTGAAGATTTTTGTATCGTTGAAATCAAAAGAAAGAGTATTTTCCAATCTTGCTAGCTATATTTTTCCTTCCCCTTTAACACATAAATATATCACTCCTTTACTGGCTGAACAATTGTCGTTGGATAACGGCTAAATAGCCATAAAAGTGGATAACAGCCTTATTAGGTTTTCAACCATAATGTTGGCATGGCTGTAGATATATATATATGGATATTGTTATGGATATGGTGCCGCCTGTGTCTGTGACAATGTTGAAGCGCACTCGTAATCAAACGGCAACAGACAGACAGAAGGACTGACACGATTTGTAGCAATCTCAGCGAATAATACAGACCAATAACGATTCCAATTTGCGAATTTACTCGTCGTATATTTAAATATATGGAATCGGCAGTACTGTGTGTGTACATTATATATAAGAGACATTCTTGTGCGACATGAGTCATAAATTATGTGCCCATGGCCGTCACACAGACGTGACGACGCCTCAACTGCCCGTCCTGTCCCCCGGCAGGGTCTTTCAACCTTCTTCCCGGCCCATAAATATTTTTAGGGAAAAATAATTTCTGTCTTGATAATTTGCCATTTCCTGGTGCAGTCAGCTTCCGTTTGCCACTGTGCAGAAGCAGAAGCAGCAGCAGCAGTAGCCTTGCACCTGAGAGCGATGCCTAATTGAATTTCACATTTGGCCAAAACCTAAGAAGAGAAAAATTGCTATGGAAATGTATTTTTGTCTTGCTCTGGGGGTCAGTCCCGGTGCCAGTGCTGCTGCCGGAGTGCGTGTGCCAATGTCTGCGCACTTGAAATTTCTGTAGAGGGGAAATGGGAAAGAATCTGGTGGCTGCTGGCACAGACTCATGCATCTTCCAGTGGCGCAACTGAATGTCAAAATGTGGCCCGAGTGCCATAAAATTGCCTGAATTTAGCGCTAGGTTCGTTCTCTGCCTGCCTGCCACTCCTCATTTGGTCTGGGGAGCTGCTTCTGTTGCAGTTGCAGTGCCTGGCAGCGGTCCAGCTCTGCGACTGCGTCTCCATCTCTGGCTGTAGCTGCTGCTGTGTCAAGTGTCTATGCTCTGGGCTTGTTAATCTACGAGTGGCTGCTTCTGCTCCATCTTGTTTGTAGCTGCTGTGATGCTTGGTGCTTGGTGCTTGGTGCCGCTTCCTGGTAGTTGCTGGGACTCCTCGGGCTTTGTTTTCATTACCGACCAAGTCCACATGGCCGGCCTATTAAATGCAAAATGTGCAGACAGCCAGAGAGACAAACGGCCGTAGTCCAAAGCCCTGTCTCTGTCCACTCCTCCACTCCATCCTTCGGTGTCCCTCCACGAGACTGTTATGAGAATTAAATATGCAACTGCTGGTGGAGCCCCCCCGGTGGCATGTGGCAGGGTTATTAAAGTTAATTACAATTTTTCATGGCATTCGTTTATTTTGATTTTTTTTTTTTTCTTCTTTATGCTGTGTCCTTGGTCTCTGGCGATTTTTCCACTCTATTAATTTTCGCATTGATTTATTTGCGGGCATCCTCTGCGGCCGGTCTGCCATTGTTTACGGATCCTCTCTCTCTGTCTTCATGGATCGATGGGAGCTGCCAATTAATGTGAAACAGGAAGGCCAGAGGGAGGGGGACTCTGACACGCAGCTGGATTACACATAAAGCACTTTGAATATTTGCTCGCGATAATAATGATACATAGAGGGGAAAACCCAGAAAAGCATTTATAGACGGGGCATTGCTTGGCTTTATCTGATGGTGGATCTCGTTAAATATTAATTTTTATTTAAGTTTTTCCCACGATCCACGTATCTCATATCAATCCTTTCCCTTACTTTACAGCTGAAAGCGACCTGCTCACATTTGCACAGCGCAAGGAGCACTACGAGACAGACAAGTCATTCCAGCAGGAGCTCTTCACCGGCGACTCGCGGCCGCTTAGCGTTCGCCAGCTGTACACGGAGGCGGGCAAGGATCGGCCCGTGGGCGCGGCCACGGCAGGTGCCCTCGCCGCTTTGGCGCAGTCGAATGCCACGGCCACGGGCACCACAGCCTCACCGCCACGTTCCATTTCCTTCAGTGGGGACGTAACGACGGGAGCCCACAACGGTCACGAGGTCCTTATGAATGGCACCGCGGAGGCGTCGTCCGAGGATTACTTGATCTGCGTGTCCGACTTTGGCAATGCCAATCGCAAGCTGCGCACGCGCATCGATGCCGAGATCGAGATACGTTTGGTGAGTTTTTAACAGGTTTTCCCAGGCCAGTCCGTTAGGCGATGGCCCGTTTTCCATGTACAGGTACAGGAACTTGCAAAACTTAATGCCACATGCATAAATAATATGTTTAGCAATGGCCGGAGAGCACGCACATACCAGAGACCAGAGACCAGAGACCATGTCCAGGTCCAGGTCCCCAAACCAAACCAAAACCAAAACGAAGCAAAGCGAACCTCATAGCGACCTCATGTGTGTGGTCCCTGTGGCTGATGTTGCGGCTGTGGCTGTGGCTTCCTGCTTTTCTGCCAGCTGTGTCGCCTCTAAAAGCCATAGACCATACTCTCCTCTCTCTGTGTCTCGTCCAGCCATGTGCTCCACATAGCCAAAGCCCCCACACACACACACTCGGAGAAGAGCCCGTGCAGATTGCAGTCATTGTCGTACAGCAAACATCGAACGAGGAGACAGACCACACAACTTGCCATAGCTCCAGCTGCAGCTCCGCCCAATGGCCAACGAGGAGGAGCTGCAGCTCCAGCGTTGGTTTGAAGGAAGGCCAAGACTCGACTCCATCAAATCATTCGAGTTAGTTGACTCGCTTTTAATTGCTCAAGTGTCGTCCCACGCCATTATGGCTTTTCCAAGCTGTGGGGCAGAAGAGTCACTAGATACACGTATAGACAGGGGCTTTGCTCTTTTTGTTTGTGGTTTAAGTTTTGTGATGTTTGATAGAATGATTGGACTTAATATGAAGAGATTGCTTATGGTAGATTTTATGGGAGAGAGGTTCTAGACTAAGCAGATCTCGTAGCTGTCAATAATTCTTTCACCAGATGCAGTTTATGAACAATTGCAAAAAAAGACCACGTAAAGATGAGTTATTTGAATAATTTTCTATGTTTTCTCCTCAGAAAAACTGAATTTTATCGATCCCAAAAGTATTTTTCTAAATCTTTGTTCAAAGATCGTTTAAATCTTTTTCAATATCTTGTGGATTCTGCACTTAATTATTGACTTTTGACAATTTCCATATGTACATCCCAAGTATCTACTGGAAATTCTCAACTTAAATTGAATCTAAAAATGAATATTTATACTCCCAGAAAATATATGTACGTATTATCTACACATCAATTTTATTGTTCCTTTGTTCATTCAACGTTCCAATATCTGGCGAAATTCTTTTGTTCAAGCTCATGAAAATGTTGTTTTCTATATTCTATATTCTTTTTTCTGTATTCTATTTTCTATTCTTATTGTTTCAATTTGGATATTTTTCATGATGGTATTTTATTGATATACTAAAAGGAAATCTAAAGTCTCATGTTCAAGTGCATTTTTCTTTACCAATTTATTTCGTCTTTGTTTGCTGTCGCAAATTCTTTGAGAACATATCAGAAAATTGCAGTTAATTTGAGCTAACGCGCGTTTTGCAGTTGTCCCACTTCGATGTCGTCTTTGTCGTCGTCGTCTTTGTGTCGTCTCCTGTTTATCTTCTGTTGGCCATAGCCATTAGATAAGCTCCAAAAGACAAACAGCCAATGGCCAATAGAGGATGCCATTGGCAAAGACATCCACAGACTCAGACCCAGACTCAGCCACGACGACGACGACGACAATTTGGATCGCTGTTCGATAGGTTGCCAAACTTGTTTTTGGCAAAACAGCGCCGGCTGTCAATCCCAGTCGACTGTCGCCAGTCTCCCAGGTCTCCCAGTCTGCCAGTCCCCCATCACCGTCCCTGAAGCTGTAGCTTCATTCTCTTTCTGTCGTCTGCTGCTTAATAAAATGACTTTTAATCCTTTTCGCATTGCGTTTGACGTTAGTTGGCCGCAACGTTCCACTTGGCCTGGCACCGGTTACTCCCCAGATAACCCAAAGAGAAAGAGAACACCGAGCCCAGACTCGGAGAGACCCATTAGCGCTCTGCGGTTTATTGGTTACGGCAGCAACTATCTTCAAGATGCCAACCAAAGGCATGGAACGGCATATGGAATGGGATAGGATGGGCTGGGGAGGTTGCTGTTATTGTTGTTTACTTGACGGCACTTAAATTGCATTATTATATACGGCTCTCGACAGTTATGTGCGAATATTTCATCGTTAAAAGTTGCCCATCCATTGACAAGAAAGATGGAAGATGGAGCCCCTCTAACCTCGAAAAGAGTTTTTGGCAGACTCGACTCCAAATGTGACTCCGCTGTGGCACACAGCCGTAGAGAGAAGGCTTTTTCTTTATGGTCAGAGCGCCGAGCCGCCGAGCTGACTTTGGCCATTTGGAAATCTAGCTCAAGTGCCTTTTTATGTAGATTTTGTTTCTGGGTGGTGTGGGTTCCTTTCTCCCCGAAACAGCAGTCCCCGCTACGCACTCCGCACATGTTATTCAATTGCTACTCGTACAATTGATTCCGAGAGCATTCGAACAGAAAATCAAATGGAACGATTGCGTTTCTTTTTCTTTCAATTCACTTAGGAATTATTTCAATCTGGGGAATGGGGAATAGAAAAAAGCAGACAAATTTCAATAATTGCAATGGAATTAAAATTTGAGCATTGGTCGGAGAGTAGAAATTGTGAGCAGATATGTTTTTACTTACATTTTAACATTAACATGGAAATATTTAATATTTGGTCTAATAAAATATATTTCCTGCACAATTAATAATTATTTTCAAGTGTTTTATATTTAGATTAAACATGAGCCCTTTCAATAACCGTTTTCAAAGCATTTTCTATTTAAATGAATGTTTATTAAATTCGTTTTTCTTAATGTTTGAATGTAAAAACATTATTGACTGTGTTTCTTTTTAATACTTATAAAATATCCCCATCTCTGAGTGGGTCCCCAACTATAGTTTTCCCTTGGAAGGGTATCTCTGACCCACGTGTTCTTTTATTGTTTTTAATTAGACTGATTGAATTTCACTTTGAAAGCATAGAACGCGTGTTAGCTGCTCTTTTCTTTGGTTTTTGTGTTTTTGATGTGTGAGTGGATTTGAAAATAGCGTGACTTGCCCCAATTTGCGGAAAGCATAGAGAATGTTTGCGCAAACATAAATGCCAGGAGGCAGACACATTTTTCAGAGCCTATTCGTGACTCCTACGGAAACTAATTAGGGAGCTGTCCGGCAGGACATAAAACAATATTATTTGCATGCCAAATGGCCAAATGTATCAACCCTTTCCTTTTTGCTATTTCTTTCAGCCTGCTGCCATCGAGGATCTGCGGAAGTGGACATCAAGCGAAGCGCTGGGTGATGTCACCGTCACGCCCGATTGCATGCACCATGTGGACACCTCGATAAGCACCTCCATGGTCATCGGCGACAGTGGCGTCCACACGCCCGCCCTCTCTCCGTCCGTGCTCTCCGCCGATGCCGTCGATTCACTGTACGCCCAGAACCTGAGCCAGGCGGCGGACAGCAGCTCCCATCATCATCCATCCCATCATCATCAGGCAATGCTGCCGAACGATATCAATAAAGATGTGCCTTTGAATCATCGATTGCCTTCACCCGAGGAGCAGACCAAACAGATTGCCTTAAAGTGAGTAACATAAAGTGAGCTAGACATACACTACCGATTAAGAATATCATTTAAAACGAAAAGTAAATTCCCCGACGGTTTGCAAGCCATTGTGCTAAGCTAACAGTTTTACATCCACAGTCACATGGCTACAGTTGAGCATCTACTGTGTCTACTGTTCATTTATTTAAATTTTGAACACACTTTTAATGTGTTTTTCATGCAAATTTCACAGCCACTATTGTTTGATTTTGTTTTTCCTGTGGCAGCCAGGCACAAAAAAGAAACGGTTGGTTTTCCACCACATTTTACACATAGTTTTTTCATGTGTACAGTCGAATATTTGTTCAGAGAGCGCATCGCGCGTATCGGTTGGAGAAAAAACTTTGCTTAAATAAATTAATTGAATTACGTATGAATATTTACAGTGCGGTGGCCGCACAATTATGCAAGTGTCGCCCTCGCCTGCCCCTCCCTTTGGGACACGCCCCGTTCCGGCCATGGCTCATTTGTTAGGCTCCGAAATGGAGCAGCGGCCGCTGCCGCTGCTGCTGCCACCAGACGGAGCCATGTTCATGCTCCACTGATTGGGGCCACTAAATTGTTGTGGTTCGCTTAAGCGAATTACAGTTTGTGTAACCACAAAAAAGTGCACTTAAAACTGTGCCCAAACAGCAGGGATTCGAACTCCAAAGAAGGACAAGCCATGACCCCTCTCTCCTTCTCTCTCTCTCTCTCTCTCTCTGCAGATACCCCGCCGAAGTGATTTCGGTAAACATTTCTGGAAAGAATTTCCAGCGGATGTGTGCAGCCCGCAAGTCCACGACAGGATGCTTTGCCGGTGGCACCACCCCAGCGGCCTCCTCGAGCAGTGCCAGTCCAGAGAACGGGCAGACGGAGGCGGGCAACAATCTGGACGACAATGTGCAGACGGTTAGCAGGAGATCGCGATCCCGCAAGGTGCGTGGCAAGCGGAGGAACACGATAGCCGGCATCGACCAGAAGGAGATCCAGGATGCAGCCAATGGGTATGTATCTCTAGCCATCTATCTATCTAAGGATATCTTTGGATATCTATCCATTACTTCTGTTTATGTCCCACTTTCAAATGCTGAGCAGTTCCTAGAACTCTCAAACTGCCTATCAGAACTGTACATAAATCCCATACTAAACATCGTATCGTTAATGTGTACATATCTGAGCAGATATCAGCAGATCGTACATCCTATACTCGTACATCGTATTCCCTCGCTCTCCCCCCATTTATTCTCAAATGCATTCTCCTATGAGATTATCGTGAACAGACAAATTTTTAGCTGAACAATTTGTTATGCTGTTTAGTTTTCCTCTTATTTTTTCTCTTGATTTTTCGTTTTAATTACTGTACAGAAACAGTGCCAATAACTATTTATCATATACCATATATATTGTTTGCCGAATTAGCCGCACAAACTGCATGAAATTATTACGAAAATTGTTGACTAAAATTTGAATGTTGTACAAAGCAAAATACAAAATAAAATTGTAAATAAATTATGTTTTTTTTAGCTTAATGTACGTAACTAGATTCTTGTTGTTGCATTCTAAATTCAATTAAATTTCAGCCTCATATCTTTTCCAAATTCGACAATGGAAATATTATCTACATGCAAAGCAATTTTGGATACATTTTTGATTCAATGAAAAATAAAAACAGCCTAACAAATTCAATGAAAAATAAATATCATGAATACAGACACAGCAAATACCCACATAAATACGAACAGTCACACACATTCATACATCACACGAACATATCATGATCCATACCAGACATTCGCCCTTTTTCCGCCCCCGTCATTCTTCGGCAGGCCAGGAACCTCAACACCCACACACGCAACATTTGCACTCCGCTCTGGACCTACATAGAGCTGCAGTCATAGCTGGGATCTAGTCAGTCGTCAGTCAGTCGACCCACTCTTTCAAGCCTCTCTCTCTCTTCTCTGCACGTCGCATCATCAGCATAAATCATGCGAGAGACAAAACTCCTCTGTAGGATTTGCACAAGTACTACGAGTACCAGCAGAAATTTGTGTGTGGTTTTGAGTTTTTTCTTTCCACTTTTGGCTTTCAGACTTTCAGCCTTTCCTGTGCTTTTCAAATGCCACGGCACACACGAAACGACACGACGCGACGCCTTTTGCTAAAAGTTTCATAAATCTTATTTTGTTTTGTTGGGCGTCTGCCCACAAAAGCCATGGAGCCTGGCTCCAAGTCCCAGCGACAGCCCAGAGACGGCGTCATTCCATTTGACTGCGTTCTACATATATGCAACATGAGACAGAGACCCTACACACAGATAGACTTCCACTGCAAGTGTGTGTGTGCGTTTGTGCCACATTATGTCAATGCTGTTCAATATTTGTATGCTGTGCGATCAGCAGTAGTAGTCGAAAAATGCTGAAATAAGCGCAAAAGTTAACGCCCCATGGCCAGAGCTTGCCAAACTGTAAGTGCATTCATTTCGTGCATTTTTAGTACCCTCCTTACACACTAACATGGGTGCTATTTATTTATCTGAACACTTTTCAATTGAGAGAATATGCATTCAGAAGACCCTAAACTTAATAAGAGTATGAGAGAATTTCCAATTTATTCCACAGAAGAACCGACACATCAATGCTAAAGAGAATTCCCAAAAGAATTATAAAAATTTGTTTAGCTGGCAAAGCTGGCACATTTTTCGTATTTGTTCGTATTTGATTTTGTTTGTGCTCATTCGAGTACACATTGAAATTCAATGGAAATCTTTTAGCAATGACTGCACTTTGGGGCCCCCTAATTCGAGCCGTTTCTGCCCCAGAATCTGAATGAGTCGAATGCTTATCGCCCTGCCTCTGCCCCCTCTTTCTCTTTCGCTCTCTTCTGCTAGCACTTTGCATGCCGCACAGCTGCCTCATAGAGTGGGGTGGGCAATGAATGATCTGATCCACTCGAAACTAAAAATTTAGATGTTGTAATCGTCTCTAATAATCAACAGATGAGGCGCCGAGAAAGCAACGAGAGAAAATGTAAAATGAAAAATGAGAAAACGAAAGAATACAAATGTATTCGGGAAATTAACCTCTGAACTGTGCCATTAATTAATTTAGATTCTAGACTCAACAATAGATTCTCAGCTATTCCCAGCCCATCCATTCCCATGTTTTTGTTGTGAGTGTGCATCTATGTGTCTCTGTGTGTCTCTCATTAACTAGAAACAGCAAATCTTGACTTGAATAACTTCACACAATAATCACATTACATAGGAAATTCTCTCTCTCTCTCTCTCTCACTCTCTGTCTATAAACTGTCTCTCTCTCCCTTTCTCTGTGGCTATTTCCCATCTTCCATCTTCCATATGACATCTTCCATCAATCATTACAATTATGCTAACCAAATACCACAAATATATTTTCTCTTTTATGTTCCCTCCTAATCCAAACAACAAAATGTGTGTTTTTGTTGCACAATTTATGCAAATCCCGACAAACAATTCCCTCAACACTCAAGCAGAAATGGAGAGTCCTCGTCGAAGCATGCCTCCTCATCGAATGCCACATCGCCGGCACCGGCTGCGGCCAGTGCGGACACGCCGGAGGGCGTCAAGAAATCGAAGAAGTTCGGACGCAGCAAGTCCAGCGACATCTTAAAAAAGGAATCTGTTGCCTTGCCCTACGACAAGGGGAAGAGCACCCTGACCCGACTCAACTCCCTGAAGCAGTGGGGCCGCAACCGGTTCAAGTTCATGCACCGCGCGGGCGAGCTGAATGGCCTTGGGGAGAGCAGCCAGCTGGACACCAGCGGTTGCAGCTCCCAGAACAGTTCCGCCGAGAAGCCGGACAGCAGCGGACACGGATCACCGCCGGGCCTCGGCCTGGGCCTCGGACTGGGCTCCTCCAGCGTGGAGCGTGGTGGCAAGGCGAAGCCCAAGCGCGACATTGACGAAGAGTGTGTGGTGCACGATCTGATTGCCCAGAAGAGTGAATCTCGGTTTTCGCACGAACGAAAACCCTCGTATTCCTCCTCGGAGAAGAGCATGAGCGTCTCGAGCAGCGGCCAGCTGAGGGGCAAGCTGCAGCTCTCCTCCACACTGGCGGCGGCGGCCAACGTGAAGATGCGCGAGACGGCCACGCTGAACAGACAGCGGCGGAACGGACTGCACGGCCTGGCCGGCAAGGATGAGCAACCGCACTCCTCCAGCGGCAACTGGAGCGCCAGCTCAGAGTCCGGACGCGCCTCCATCGGCAGCGAGATCACCATGCAGCCAAAGTCGAGCGCCTCCAACACCTCGCTGAATGTGTCCAGCTTCCAGCCGTGCAACAGCAGCGGACCGCCCTCCTCCATGATGAGTCGGCGGCGATTCCTGAACACCTCCGCCTCGAGCAGCGTCACTAGCGAGGGCACGGCCACGCCGGAGCTGCAGACGGAGGCGGGCGCCTATCCGAATCACCTGGACGACGAGACCAGCTCCGCGTACAGCTGCGACACCGAGGGGTACTACACCTCCTTCCATATGGACAGCGGCCTGCGCACGCTCAAGGAGGAGGAGCCACCGATGACCCCGCTGCAGCAGAGTCTGCACACCAGCTCCTACTCCTTCGGCAGCCAGTCCAACCAGACGGTGCTCAATGCGGAGAACGAGTACGAGCTGTACGGCCGGGGCTCCACCTCGACCACCACAAGCTCCGCGGGTACCGTCTGCACCACGCTCCTGAATGGAGCCATCTCCGGGCCGGATGTGCCGGAGCGGACCAGCTCGCTGGGCAAGCACAGCTCCTCCCAGAGCCAGAGCCAGAGCCACAGTCAGAGCAACAGCAACAGCGCCAGCAGCAGCACCCTGGAGCGTAGCTACAGCAGCAGCACCATCGGCAGCACCCTGGAGCGCACGGGCACCATCAAGAGGAACGTGAAGATGGCTCCCAATGCGGAGGATGCTGCCCAGCAGGAGGAACAGCAGCAGCAGCAGCTGCAGCGCTCGGCCATGCCCCTACCGGGCGGTGCGACGGAGCTGGAGTTCTCGGAGAGCTCCGATCTGGAGGGCGTGGAGCGGATTGAGCGGATCAAGCAGAAGACGGCCATCACCTCGAAGCGGATACCTTCCATGTGCATCATTACACCCACGACGAGCGACGATGACGAGCACCAGGCGTCGCAGGCGGATCGCACGCTCACGAATCTCTCAGTGGATGTGGACCAAGACGATGATGCCTTAGAGCCGGAACAGAGGACGCCAACCAATGCGAATGCGAGTGGGGGAAGCAGCAAGGACCACAACCTCAACGAGCTTAAGCAGACGCCCACGAAAGCTTTGAGCGGAATGTTCGAGAAGCTCAAGGTGAAGCTTGTGCCGGGCAAAAGCTCGCCGGTTAAGCCAAAGCTCAAGCCCGCCTCCGCCAGTGCCGTCAATGACGATGAGCTTTATGACCTGGCGGGCGAGTACGTCACCATCGCGGACATCAGCAACAACAACAACAATCAGAGGGCAAAGATTGCCCCCTCGGGCGCTGGCTCCAGCCTCGGCATCTACTATTCCAATGACATAGTTCGTCGCGGAGCCTCGGCTTCGGGTTCTGCCGCTGCTACGTCAGAGTACGTGTCGCTGAACGAGCTGCCTCAGCATTTGCGTCGGCATGCAACCCACGGCTCTCCCTCTGGCTCTGCCCTGCCGCTGCCGCTGAGCGAGAGCGGGGCCTGCGCACAGCTGCTGCTGCCCGGTGAGACGGCGGCAGCTGGCAAGGCCACACCGCCACCCCATGGGCAGCGGCAGAGGCAGCAGCAACCCACCCGGAGTGAGGGTTGCGGGGTGCCGATGTATGCGGAAATCAGCGAACTGCGAGAGGAGAAATCGCTCGTCGCCGCTCAGCAGCAGCAGCAACAGCAGCAGCAGCAGCGTCGGGTGCGCACGACGGCCGAGGGCAGAGTCATTTACGATTCCGATAGCTTGAAGCGACGCAAGGGTGCACACACCACCTTTGCACCTGGGCCCTACGTGAAGGAAACCGAAAGTGCCCTGCTCAGTGCAACGCGAGACGCCACAACGGGCGAAAGTGCAACATCAGCAGCAGCAGGAACAGCAGCAGCAGCCGGCGAAGCAGCATCCACAAAGAGCGTCAAGCTATTGCTATTGAACGGCGGCGGTAGCGCTGGCAACCACCGCAAGGTGGCCAATGTGCGTCCCATAGTAGCCAAATCGCCACTCAGCAAGATCCCACAGAGCAGCAGCATGGCTGCGTATCAGTCAGTGACAGTCGGAGGCGGCGGCAGCAGCTACCAGGAGCAGAAGCAACTGCTGGCCAATCACACGAATCCCTTCTACGAGACAATTGCAGCAGCTGCCACCGCCGGTACACCGGCAACGGGCGGCAGCATGATGCCCTCGCCTTCGGGCAAATCCAATTCATCGACTGGCTCCACGGCCACCAATTCGTCCTCCTCCACGGCGTCGGCCCACTCCGGCGAAGAAGGTAAGCTAGTGTTCCAGCCGCCGGCAGACAGTTGCCATTACGCTTGCCCACCCACACCTACACCTACTACACCCACACTTACACCTAAGTCTAATACCCGAACTGAATCCAAACCCTGTTCCTCCTCTGCTAATGTAAATAACACGCCACTTTGCAACACTGCCACAACAACAACAGCAACAACAGCAGCAATAGCAACGGCAACAAACATTAACAAACACCACAATTACGGAGTCAAAAGCAAGTCAAAATCCGCATCAATGGGCACGAACATATCAAGTGTAGAGCAGAATCAGCAGCAGCAGCAGCAGCATCCACAGCAGAACCCCAAAGATTGCGAGTCGAAAGTGAGGGTTGCTGAAATGGAAACTAACCCCCGTGGGGCTACAAATGGGGTTGATGGGGAACAGCAGCAGCAGCAGCTGCCACCCCAACTGCCACCCCAACTGCCGCCGAGGGCGAAAGTAAATGACAATACGAAGGTAGCAACCGACCCAACTCCAACTCCAACTTCAGTCCCTGCCATATCGATTGACCCAATTGCAGTGCACTTCTCCCAACCAAATCCAAATCCGAATGTGAATCCGAATGCAAATCCCGGTAAGCCGCGCGCCGCTCTCAAGCGCAACAACAGCTACAGGCTGGCCAACGATGAGCTAAAGCTGGAAATGAATAAGGAGAACAACCAGGAACTTCAGCTCTCGTTCGGTGCCGAGAGAGTAGGCCCGAACTCGGGTACATTGCCCCCCATGCAGCATGCAACAAGTTCGCTTAGGCTGCGCAACCTCAGCAATCTGCCAGCCACACCTGCCAGCGGGGAGCGCAAGATAGCCAAATCCTTTGAGCGTCTGGTCGATGAGTTCTCCCTGTCCCTCACGCCCGGCAATGATTCCTCATATTTGAAGAACAAATCGCTGGAGAATTTCGATGACTCACCCGCCCTTTTGGCTCTGGCCAATGAGTCCCAAGAAAGCGAACAAAAGCCAGACACTGCCACAGCTCCCAACTCTGACTCCGACTCTGAGTCGGAGGACGAAGTGGAGGCACTGACTACGCCCATGCCCGTACCCAAGTACCACAAGTCCTTTGTGGATAGCGTGCTGCTGCGTCCTTTCAAAATCATTCTACCACACGACGACAACGGGGCGCGTCGTCAGCGAATTTTGCAAAAGTTCGAGGTGACGGAAATATGGTAGAGGGACGGGACTCTGTAGGGCTGTAGTTTGACCTTTTGTCAATGCCTAACCCTTTTCACTCATGTGCCAGCCAGGCACAGGCCTTCTTCAAGTAAGCGTCTTGAGCAAACACTGAAAAATAATTGACAATCTCGGCAAACACCACACAGCAGCAAGCTGCTTCACATTGTGGCGTCACTCATTAAAGTTGCCAGGCACTAGGCCCGTGTGCGTGTTCAATTGCCTGTGGGAGTCTCGCTCGAGTCTCAAGTCCTGGATCTTGGGGTTCAATGTCCCTGCCGCTGCACTGCGCTCCTGCTACACTTGATATACTACTATCCCAAGCGGGGCAGTCCTCAACCTGATATTATGTTTTGTAAATTATTTCCACAATTATTGCGCACGTTTAACCAATTTTATGTGTGTGTTTTTTAACCCTAACTATTAAGATTAATGTTATTTGTGTTCGTTTATCCCTAAACAATAATATAAATATATTTGTGTGTAACTAATTGTAACTTAACATAAACCAAACACATGTTTATTGTAAATTTTGTAAAGTTTTTTGCACCGTTCACGTTTTACAACTAAGATTTTGTATGTTCTACCACGACTATGATGCTAATTTTTGTACAACTACTTGTATTATTTATGATTTGTTGTTTGATGTATTATGAAAAGCGTGCAAAAGACTTCTAAAGCATCATTTATTCCAGCATGACTGTGTGTTTGTCTATGTTACTGTAGTAGAAGTAGTTTTTTTGCACGCTTTTCCCCAAAAACTAACGATCCAATAATGCTCTCGCTCCCCTAAGGAGGCTGTAGTAGTTTGAAAAATTAGCACATGGCCTTAACCTTAAGTTCTTGCCTAAGTCCAAACCACATTCCACAAAAAAAGAACACATCTAACTCCACCCACCGATCGTAAGTAATGTTTTTGCAACAAAATAAATCGAAAAGAAAAGAAAATAAAACGAAACCAAAATTTGGCATTGAAATCATTGACATTATCATGGCTGATTGAGGTAAAGGTAAACCACCATCCATCCAACCCAACTCACGCACCCAAAGCATCCCCACATCATAGCACCCAAGCACACCCGATCCACCAGATCCATGTATATACAATAAATCGTGCATTAAAGTCTGAGGGGAATACGTTCAGGTATGTATGGAACCGCTTTGCTTTGAATGCTTCTCTCTCTTTAGTCGATTACCCTAACCATCCGCACTTGAAATTGCCTACTAAACCCATGAGGGAATCTGCAGTCAGGTGTCTCCAGTGACTAATTCGCATCGAACTTGTCTTTTCTCCACAGGGTATCAACGTTTCTCTAACATCTATGAGCAAGTGCAGCCAGCACAGACTACCACCAGCAACACACAGCCCACAGTTGACGCTGCCACGCCCTTCCAGCGAAGCGCACCCATCTACTGGACCCTGCAGAGTCGTCGCAGCCAGCAGAAGCCTCAGCCCATTGGCAACATTACCTGCCGGGACGATCTGTACGCCACGCCAATACGGCGAGCGGACCGTTTGGCACGTGCAGCGGTCGCCAATGGAGCTTCTCTTCCAGCCGCGGACAATACAGATGGCAAGAGCAAAATATCGCCAATTGTGCCAAGGACTCGCGGCGGAGCCTTTCTCACTTCCACGCCCACTCGCGGTGAGGCGGAGAAGGCAGGAGAGAACGTCCAAGTGCCACCCATGAAGCAGCCCTCGCGCAACTGGACCGATGATGCGCCGGAGCGGCTGAACACTTGCGCCGATCGCATTGGTCAGAGCAAGACGACGCTGATGGACTTCAAGAAGCTGCTGCTGGCCAAGTCAGCCAAAACGAGTCCGGTACAGCGGAAAATGTCAGCCGTGGAACTGCTGAAGAAGTCCTCCGGCCAAGCTGCTGGCCCAGCGCCAGCGACAAAGGCAAGTGGACCTGCTCCCAAAGCGGGCACTGCGGCTCCTGGGGCAGCCAAAGCCACAATAAACTCCAGTCTCAAGCTGCTCGATCTAAGCGGCTCGCCAAAGACGTTTGCCAACCGCAGGATGCTGCGCCAGGGCCAGTTCGGGTCGCCATCCAAGACGTTTGTGCCAAAAGGCCGTGGTCCTGTTAATGTGGTGACCGCTGCATCTGCCGCACCACGAACGGACATCATGTCCACCACCATACCAGAGGCCAACAGTGAGGAGGATCACTCAAACACGAGCGGAGGATCGCGTGCCAGCTCTGAAGCGGGCGAAACAGCGCCAGCGGAGACGCCAACCAGCCCTCCCGTGGTCACCTCCAGCTACGATCTGAAACGCAATTTTTTCCTGCAAACCGAGCAGAACAACTTTATGCGCGGCGAGCTGAAGCACACCTTCGCGGGAAGAGGAGGCAGCAATGCAGCAGCAGGAGCCGGAGCCAGCGTAGAGAGTAACAAATGTGCGAACGCTCCACTAGTGGCCGCTGCACTGCCGTCATTCGAGACGGCGCTCTAAGAGACTTTTGCGATGCAAGCGGGTCTAACCCGCGTTTGCATTCGCCGCAGGAGGCACGGAGAAGTAGGATGCACTAGCAGATACGGATAGATAACATATACATATATATATATTCCATAAGAAACAATTGGATAATCGAGACAAGCAATCCTAACACTTAGGCTTCACCGACACTTACCCACTAGCCACACGCTGAACCTGCATTTATTGACGGAATGGAACGAGTCAAAAGCGATGCTACTTTATGCAACAACTTATACAAATATCAATTAACTATATACACAATACCTTTATACAATAAAATGTATTTTTAAAATTGTGCTGCTTGTATAAACGGATATTTTATACACGAATACGAAATACGAATTACGATTATGAATACGAAATACAAATACGAATACGAATCGTCTATACAATTATATTATATTTATTTGTAATTTTACATTATTTATTGCAATTATGTATTACGCTACACGCATTGCTCTTTCTTTTGTACGTCTACTACGAGCTAAGGAGAATTGCTAATCAATAAATACATTGAATAACACCCAGAGAACAGGCAGTACACACACACACACGAGTCTGTATGTTTGAATGCGTCTATCACTATCACTATATCCAACTGCGGCCCACGCTGCCCGACCTGCGCTTGGTCGACTTGTCGCCAACCGAGCTGGAGGCCTGATCCTTTCGTCCCAGAACTGGCGAGCTTCCAGATCCAATGTTGCGAATTAGTAGCTTGAGTCCGCGAGCCTGCGCATCACTTGCCTGGCCCACACTGTTCGCCTCGGAAGCAATGATGCAGAAGTCGTCGACTATGTGCCCTGGCGGACTAATGTCGAAGGGCAAGATATCGTTTAGGCTCTGCTGATGCCGATAAACGCTGCGACGACGCGCGCTGCTGTCGCCGCTCAGGTTGTGCGAGCTACCACTGACTGGCTGCTGCTGCGCCTGCTGCTGCAGCTCCTGCTGGGCGTGTAGGAGGCGAGAACGCAGGCCGCTGTTGTCCTCGCTGAGACGTTGCATATGGGCTGCTTCCTGCTCGGCGCGCACAAACGAGGGCTGTGGCAAGCACTGATAGACGGTTGTGAGGAAGTTGCGAAGCGACAACAGCGACGTGTCCTGCCACTGTTTGGTAAAGTAAAGAGCAAAGCTGGGCGACTCCTCTGCGTTCTTGCAGAACGGGAAATCTGCAAGCAACCAAAACACCAATGAAACATCGAGTCACGAAATGAATATCAAATCAACCCACAGAACCAATCCTTCCACTCGTTCTGCTGCTGCAGCTCGCCTGCCATCTTATTGAAGAACTCTGATATTTTGTCCGACTTGTTGTTGCTGTAGGCCGTCACCAGATAGTATTTGAGCAGACTGTTCTCCAGTTTCTTTACGGCTAAGGGCGCACAATGAATTACAAAAGAAAGATGTGGGCAATGTATTGCTTACCAACGGCGTAGGTGTGGTCCAGCTTGGTGAACAGATTATTGTCCAGGTGTAGCCACAGGGTAAGGAGCCCGTGCAGGTCGTAAGTCTGCACGGCATAGGTAAACTGCTCCAGTATGCGCTCCGCCCGAAAGTGCTGGTCCTTCTCGGTGCGCTGCTCCAGGTCCAGCGCCTTTAAAGTGCTGGAGAAGCCTCGAAACACGAGATATTCTCTCAGCAAGTTATCGAGGAATGCCACCTGTGCCATTTAACAGTAGACGTCCGTTAATACAAAGTAAAAACAATGGCAAATTTATTTGGCAACCACAGAATTGTTTTTATGAATTGGAGTGACCAGACAGCAAAGCAGAGTTGCCAGATTAGATATCCTATAGAAATTCTACATACTATATTTTGTCTGCTAAAAATTTGGCAGCACTGATTTTAGTATTTTTATAAAAAATCGGAAACGGAGCCACTGGCGCCCATTTGCCATCGAAATCAAAACTAGATTGCGCTGTGGTCTTTTTGTTAAAACAACTAAATTGTGAAGCAGACACCTTCGAGGAACGAGAAAAACCGGAGCGTGACTGTTGGCTGGGAAATACAGATGGACCGGCTGAAACTATAAGAATCGCGTTGGCTAAACATTTCTTAAACTGTAAATCTGTCTATATAAACATTTTTATAACGAGTATTCAAGTCAACATTGTCATGTCCATCAGTCTGTTAGCATACATGAGCTTGATGTGATTATCTATGTATGTTTGTATGTTTGCACTGCAAACTTTTTCAAAGCAAAATTGAGCCAGAAAATGCAATTTTGTATTTTGTAATGATACGCCCACACATGAGGCCACACTGCGACACATATCGGTACTTTCCTCGGTATGTTAGCGGTATATTTTGAAAACGAGACGGTATATTTCTGGCGTTCCGACGTTGTATGTTGTCAACAATTCCGCGGTCACACTGTTTCTAGAAGTAACTTCGAAAAAAGGTAAATTTGGTAAACTTTTAGCAACAAAGGCGCATTTCAAACGAAAGTGAAATCAATGCACCAGCAAAAGAATCGCTTGAAATATGAGTCGAAAGGTAACGAAAGAACAAAATGAGGTATCGTTGATCATTGGGACGCTGCCGAAGCGACTGCAAAACAAGATTGCTGCAAGCTGTAGCCACGCAACAGCAACAGCAGTGGAAGATGCTGAAAATGCGGAGCCCCCGATGGCTACGACGACAATAGCAACAACAACCAAGAAGATGTGCCCAAGGCCAAGTATGTTTAAATAGCTACGTCACGGGCATTTTTTTATTATCATGTTTTTTCACTTTGACATATTCACAGTCACGATTTTGAGCAATTCATCAGTAAAAGGAAAATGTAATGATAAAATGCCCGTTTTGGATACCAGCGGGTCGAGCCACAAGCAACTGCGGGATGTATGTATACCAGGCATACTGCGGGTCACGGCAAACGTGTCTGATAACGCTAGTGCTACTTGTCATTTTGGACGCCGACGTGGGCGCACTCAGGACAAGAAGAATAAGGCTCACACGCCGCACTCGCCACAGGAGCGCACTCGCCTGACGACTGAGCATCCCGAGTGGTTCGAGCCCATGCTGAATATGCCCAATGCAAAGGATATTGTACAGCTGTACGACCAACTTATGGTGCTGCAGCACAGGAACCTTATCCTAGTCGTAAGTTGTGACTAATCCAGATTGCCGCCCAATGCTTGATAACAAATTTTGCATTTCTCATTGCAGAACTGGAAAAACTTTTGCTATATCCTCAACCAGCTGCAGGAGGCCTTTAAAACCCTGATGCTGGAGCAGCTGCGATTTGTCTGCGAGCACAAGGTGGATGCCTTCTTCTGGAAGCTTTTATTCTACAACGTGCGCGAATATCTGAAGCGGCAGCAGACCGACCAGGCGCGCTGCCACACCTTGCTGCTGATCGAGCAAGCACTCAAGTTCTACCACACTGTCTTTGATCAACTCATGACAAAGTATGCTTCGTCTTCGCGCTGCGAGAGTGCCGTCAAGGTGGTTGCCCAGCGCCTACTAATCTGCCTGGGTGACCTGTCTCGCTACCGCGTTAATTACGTACAAGGCACGGACTACCTGGAGGCTGCACGCTACTACCACCGAGCCCAGGAGCTGGTGCCCGGAAACGGTACGCCATACAATCAGCTGGCTATCGTTTCCATTTTTCATGTAAGTAAAGGGCGAATTCCTGCGTTTTTTATTCGAGTAAATACTAAATATTCTACTCTATTTATGCAGCATAAGCGCTTCGATGCAGTCTACTATTATGTGCGCAGCTTGTTGACTTCAAACTCTATACAAACAGCCAAGGAGAGCTTGCTGGATCTGTTTGACGAGATTCGCCGAAAGTACGAGGATACAGAAATGAAAAAATCTCCCTTCAATTGTGGGCCAATCACGAAGGACAACCAGAAGTCCAAGCACATGCGAAAAGAAGTTTGGATCTACCCGGATGGTATACGCTGCTTGCACCGATCTGATCTAAAGAAAAAGGGCAAGAACAAGGTGACCCTGGCCGAGGTTAACCGCTACGACGAAATGTCACCAGTGGATCTATTGCCACGCGTTGTCTCCCTTTACTTGTACTTGATTGGCAAACTCTACAATGGAACTGAGTAAGTTATATTAAAGTATAATTAACCATCTAGATTTACCCTCTTATGTGACTTGTTCTTAGTGTGGACTCATTGTACCAGCTGCTACGAAAACTTCAAATTCAGCTGAGTGTTGCTCTGAAGCAGTCGAACCTCTTGTCACGTTCCAAACTGGTAAAAATGGTGGCACTTAACCTGTTCGTCATGGAGCACAACAAGCGTAAAGGTACCAGTATATTGTGGCTGATAAGCTCAATCATAATTGAAACTAATGCGCTGTACTTTTTACAGTGTCGCGTCGTGAGATGCGTTATCACAGCTTCAATTTTGCAAATTCATTGTTTGGCCTTATGCTGAAAATAACAAACGAAACGCTGGCCAACTTTGTTGAGGAATCGACAAGCGTTCAGGATCTTGCCGATGACAAGTATGCAAATGCAACACAGGCCTTGGAACTTGTTTTTGTTAACTTTGCTTATATCATTTTCTAGATACACCACTGTAAACACGTATCTGCAGTTTGTGAATGTCCACGTCCATTGGTTGAGCATCAATGTGGATTTGTGGGAGCCGGTGCGCTCGGAGGAGTAAGTACAACTGCAGCCCGTTTGATCCAAAATCCTTTACTTATCACCCTTTGATCTCCCCACAGGCACTCATTCATCGATTGCTGGGCCGAGCTGTCAACCCTTTTCATAAACATTGAGTGGTTGCTCGGCAAGTACAAGCTCGACCAGGAGGACATTAAAAAATGTTCCAAGACCATTTTGGACGAAGATATTGCCCTGAGCGGATTCAGTCCGTTGGGTAAGGATACAACGAGCAGAGTCAACGGTCAGCGTGGGTCTGAGCGCATCCAGTTTCTTGTGCGCATGCAGAAGATAGCTCAGTTCCAGGAGTGCTTTTTGCAGCACCAGGATGCCCTGCAGCATCCACAAGACTCCAGCTTCACCATTGAAGATCTCAATGATGATATGAAGGTTGCTCTCAATAGCTTTGAGGCCGAAAGTTGTGGCCTTTCAGAGGATTCGTCTTCAGTGAGCAAACCAGAGGGGCAGACCAAATCGGAAAAAAAAGGAGTCATCTGCCCTTCTACTGACTTTGATGTCTCGCAGCTTTGCAAGCTAAAGAAGGAGCTGGAGGAGAAGGCCAGAGTGAAGAAGTTCTGCAACAGCAAGTTGGAGGAAATTCTCAAATTGGTGGACACAAAAATATACATAGAGGTGCGTCCGCGCTATCTGTTGCCGGACACCAACTGCTTCATTGATTGCCTGGAGGACATTGAGAAGTTGTCCATGGAATACAAACGCTACACGCTCATAATACCCCTCACAGTCGTCAAGGAGCTGGACGGACTTTCCAAGGGCGTCAAGTTGGACGCTTATCGTAGCTCGCGACAGACAAAACGGATCCACCACTTTGACGAGGTGTCGACGCTCGCCAAAAAGTCACTGGAGTTCATCAAGTCGGCTAAAAGCAATGTGAAGTAAGATATCCATTTGATTTTCATTAATTTAAAGATAGTTTCTCTACTGTGATGGACTCCGTTTCAGGTGTGCAACTACAAAGGGATCTTTTGTAAATGCCTCGGTATTTGGATTGGTTGAGGAGGAATACTTGTCCAACGACGACAAAATTCTGGCAACGGCTGTAGCTGTTTCCAAGACTACCAAGTCGGAACAATGTAAAGGTAAGTTTTGATTAGCATTGTTAGCAGTACAGCCCTTACGAGATTTCTTACCACAGATGGCAAGTGCTTCATTCAAACGGAGCTGGTGCTTATCACCACCGATCGGAACTTGCGCGTGAAGGCCCTGACTCGCAATCTAGCCGTTAGCGCTTTGGAGGAGTTTCTGCAATGGGCCAAAGATTGCCGCGAATCGACCTGAAAGAAGATTGGCAGTGCGAATCGCTGGTCCCTGCTGACTATGGAGACAGGCTCGCCCACCAGCTGCTGGTGAAGAGCGGGCTTGTGCTGTTATATTTAATAGATTATTCGCATGTGGCTACGAGTATGTGTCTCGTGGTCGGAAGTCCCTGCGCGCGAATACGTTCACGAGAGACGTAGGCTCCTGATGGCTGGACAAGAGTACGAATGTAGGGTACATAGGTGCTGGTATCTTCTGGGGGATGATTTCGTCGCACCGGATCATGTGGTGTTCCCACACATTTAAATTTCCTTTTCCCCATTTCTTTCAATGTACTTTCAATAAAATTAAAACCAATTTGGATTGTTCTTCAATTATTTGTGTATTATTGGGCCTGGGCAACGCACGATGGACTATTTATCCCCACTCACAAATAAAAAGAGAAATCGTAACAACAAACAATTCAGACGATACGGAAAAAAAATAAATTACATTTAAAATTATAGCATACTTTTGGGATTACAAAAAAGCGAAGCTGCTCTGCTTGAATTCTGCTCGCCTGGTACCTCAATCTCAAATTTGTTTCGTTTTCGCCATTCGCAGGGTGATTTTGTTTCATGCCAAAAGTCAAAGTTCCTTTTCAACCAAGAATTAAATCCCCATCGACAGTCTGAAGCCAAATTGAAGGGAAAGTCTGTTTCTTTAATGATTTGAATCATTTTTATTTTATATTTATTTCTCAAATATTTTCAATAATAATTAATATTATAATAATTAATTAATTAATGCTTGTAACATAACAAATATTCATTTCATATCATTGCAATCTCAACGCTGCGCCCAGTTGAATGTCTCAATACCAGCGCCGCAGCCTGCAGATCTGCTCACACATCCCTTAGTTACGTCCTGCCTCCTGTCGTCAGTTTACTCATTAGTTCTAAGTATCTTCAGCTCGGCAAAATGCTCAATTCGTTCGTACATTTCGCTTTGTGCCGTCAAATTCAATCGCATTATGAAAATGTTTCTTAAGTTTGTTTAAAAATTAATTAAGAGTCGCGTAGCTGCTGTTTGTTGGATGTTAATTCATTTTTGTGTTTGTTTGACGTTTCATGCGCTGGTTTGTTTGATTCTGCTCTTGCAGTTGCTGTTGCAGTTGCAGCTTCTTCCTTGCAATCGCAATACATTTAAATATATCAATACACATTAGTTTTTGTTTTTGTTTTTGTTTTTCTTTTATATACAATACACATAAGAGATTTGTAGTAAAATTTGGTGAGAAAAATCTTTGCATTACATAAACATCGCCGTTTTGTTTTGTTTCGTTTTGTTTACTTTTTCTTTCGTTTAGAGCGTAAAATGATTATTCTTGTCGTATTACCTTTAAGTTGTACAATTAGAGAGCACAAAAGTTTCAAAGTGGTTTGCTTGGTGTATAATTAAAAATTTGATTCAAGAGATGTTTTCAACTTTGATTGTTTCGCGTGTGTCTATTCGCAGTTGGGCTAGTTAAGCAGTTAAGAGTCGAGATCTAGGGCAGATTGCTAAGCTTTCTCAGTTACAACGATAGTTAGCCGATGGCTACATATGTGGGTATGGGTGTGGCTGTGGCTGTGGGTGTTGCTGTGGTTCGAAAGTTACATGACTGACATTATTTTCTCCATAAAGGACTTCCTGAAGACTGGGTACCAAATACTAGAACCAATTAGACGGCTGTTCATTCGCCACTTCACATGTATCTCATCGTTTGTTTATCCCTCCTTCTGAGTTGTATTTTTAATATTTAAAACTTGGACCCTATTTTAATTTTGCAATAATGCCTGACTAATGTTAAAGCCGCACCAGATATTCACAAGTGATAGACAGACCAAGGAAATCCAACTTCAACAGAAAAGTGTCGAGTGTTAAAGGAAAGCGGCAATCGAATCGAATTAAAACTTGACTTTATGTGTACATTTTAAATTCACTGCTGCAATTTACCTCGGTTAGTTATGTTTTAATCATTTATCAGTTTTACTAAAAGTAGGAACTTCTGCCTGTTGTCAACTGTTTGCTGTACTATTTATGTTTGGTATGTGCCTGTGAGTGTCTCGGGAACGCAATTCAAATGCAACGAAAACAAGTTCTGTGTAAAAGTAGCACGTAAAACACATCCAGATTTCACTAACTATAAACATATTCATTCGTATGTCTGTATATATTGTATATTAGTTGTATACGTTTGTCTAATTGTACAAAACAAATGAACAAATGAACAAAACCATAAACGTAACAACACTTTTTGATTGGCGCCTCTCATCATCCACTAAAAATCACACACAAAAAAATTTCAGCTACTAAAGATACTGGACACCGAGCACAAAAAACGCATGAATCTCCGTTCCTAAGAACATTCAACATAAATTGATAACTGTACAATTTAGTATATGCATTTCCACTTGGTTTTGTCCTCTGGCAAAACTTCAAACATATTCCCTACGACCTCCCTCTACGACTCCGCTAATCCTTAAGTATTACTTTTTCTGACTTTTGCCAAACTAACGATTTGTAAATGTATTCATATTCGCAATAATGTGTCGGTCCATTCCAGGAGCTCTGTACCAGTGTCGATGTGGTGTCTCTTGTCTCTTGTCTCTTGTCTCGTGTGTGCGTGGACTTGTACCAAAACTGAACTGGATTAAGCTAAACTAAAATTGTGGTTTCGGGTGCTGTCTGTGGGTTGTGGCGGTAGAAAAAAGGAGATTGTTTAAATTTAACTACTCATATGTCAAACAATGCTGATATGTTTCTGTTCATGTTGTATATGTTGCGCATGTGATTTCAGTAAAACAAAAACGGTTCCTGTTTCCCCCATCTCCTACTTTGATTTCCTTTTGGTTCGTGAATAGTTTCCATCCTCTGACTGCACTCCGATTTGACTGATCGCTATGTTTCTAATAATTTGCTGCTCTCCTCCTCGATACATTTATATATATATATAGTTATAGCTACAATTACATATGGTACATACACATATATATCTGGTTTCTCTAACTGTAAAAGTAGCACGTATGTAAGTATGCATGCAGTATGTCGCACACGTCCACCGATAGATGCCTCACAACATATGAACCTGTGCTGCATATACTGTTATGTATATGTATATATGTATAATATGTAATCCACGATTAGTCTTCAATTTGTTATGCTTCACTTTGCATTTTGGTAAAATCTCATCTTGCAGCTCGTCCTACTGTACAACTTAAAACTGTTGGCTTCTGTTTTATGTTTTAACGTTTTAGTTTAGATCTTTTAGGCTAATGCAATTGTGGGACCCCCGCGGATCCCCCCCTTGATCGTCGCCAGCAATGTCAGTCGAACGAGATCACTTTGACTTTGACAAATGCAACAATTGTATGGGATGTACGCTGATTAATATTCACTCCTCTCCATAGCAGGCTCTCAATTTTAGGCTCTTCAATTTAATTGTAAATTAATTATTAGTTGGGATTTTCTCTACTTGGTAAAGTAATACTTTTTAGTGTACTGTTTTGTCAATTAGCTGCACTCTGCTGCACATCCTTCGTTCACTTGCATTCTTTCTTTTTAATGTACTTTTAATGTTGTTTAATTTCTGCTTTACTGTGTATAATTCGTATTCCGATCTTTAAACTGTAGTTTAGATTCTGTATTAGTTCTATTAACTCGCATGCTGCTTTCTCGGTGTTTAGTGTTCACTATCAACATTTACACGCTGAAGCGCAAATTGATTCTATATTATCGTTGGGCTAAATATTTGATTACGCTTTGAACGCTTTGAATGCATACCAAAGGACAGCCCCAGGATGCCCTGCTCCCTACATCCATTCTGGATTGTATGAGTGTGTGTATGTTGGTGTGCTCCTGTGTGTGTGTGTGTGTGCATTTGTTTTCCATATACTTATTGTATGTATTGTATTGTTGTTGCTTCTGGGGTATGAGTAGTAGATTAAGTTCGTTAAATACTTGTATGAAATTTTTGATTTGTCAAGAGTTCTCAGTTGAAATTCTAGCAGTCGTGGGTTTTGATATAAACGTACGAGTACGAGTACGAGTACGAGTATGGTATGTATAGTATAATATAGCATATCATATCGAGTTACCTTGCATCGATGCGGCTAACAAAACATGTATATAGTGTGTATATGGTATAGTATATAAGTAGTAGACATAGACATAGAGCATATGTATGTAGGTAGTATGATAAATAGGTATAAGGTTAAAGTTAAGTTAGATAGTAAGTTGCATTATGTTGTATATGAAACGCTAGTGTTTGGTGGCTCAAAACGTTCTTTTTCTTTTGTTTCTTGTTCTTTTCTGTAAGCTTGTTCTGTGTTCTGCGTGGAAAATGTAGGTAGAGGCTTGTTCAACTATTTCTTTTCTTACTTATCGTGAGCTCCTTTTGAGACATTCCCCCCCACACGTTCTGTTGGCTCTCCTTTTCTGTGCCACTTTCAACCACATTCTGCACCGCTTGCGACTTGTCTGACAACTGTAAATATAGTATTCCCATACGATTTACATATTACAATATTTTACTGTTGCTTTTCGTACACGTTTCATATATATATATATATATATATTCATATACATATATATATATATTTATTTATTAATTTAAATGTTACCTTTTTTTGTTTTGTTTTAATTTGTTTTGTGATTTGTATGCTTCTCCTGTGTTTCTGTTTCTGTTTCTGTCTCGGTTTTATTTTTGTTTCTTTTATTTTTGCTTTTGTTAATTTTAAATTACGATCACTGCTACTCATTCTTACTTACTAAATCCATATCAATTAAGTTACAATTAGTTGATTTTTTTAACCTTTTTGTGTTTTTGTTTTTTTATACTTTTTATTTGCTTTTTGTTGTTGTTTTTGTTTTTGTTTTTGTTTTGTTTTGTTCTTTTGCGCCAACGTATAAATAATTTCACTTTCTAAATATATATAAACTTTCATATATGAGTGTATCTGTCTGATTTTGTGTATTGTGTGGGTGTGTACTCTTGTGTGTGGGTGTGTCTGTTTACTGTGTGTGTGTGTGTGTGTGTGTGTGTGTGTGTGTGTGTGTGTATGTTGTGGGGTTCTTGTAAAATTATCAAAAAATCATTCAGTTTTGTTTTTGCTAAAACACGTATATGTCTTTCGTTACCAGTATGCCTATGATTAAATATAATTACCATTCCATTCCATTCTTTTGTTTTGTTTTTTTCTTTTTGTTTTGTTTTGTTGTTGTTTCATTTTGAGATTATACTTTTTTCGTAGCTAAAATTTGTTTAATTTCCTGTTTCATGGTTTTGTTGTAGTTCAATACATACTTATACAGATGTGTATATATATTTGTTTGATCGATTTGTGTATAATTTGCGCTAGCTTAACAACATTTACATATACATACACACACATAGGGTTTACGTACGCGTTGATTTAACTGCCCTTTAAAATTATTATTCTCACGTAATCAGTAATCAGTAATCAGTATTCACTAATCAGTAATCAGTTAATGCTAAACAAACAGACGAGAGCTAAGTGCGCCTTCTTGGGTATACACACATCTGGGGGTTCTTCGCTTTTGTCCAAGTGGCCGATTTATTTCAACTTATTCAAATTTAATACATTTTTATCAGTTTTACCATAAACTCTACTTCATATTCTTCACATCTGTTCGCTTCAATGCTTCAATGCCTAGGACTCGGTGTGCAATTCGGGACCATCTCCATCTCCATCTCCATCTCCATATCTAAGTCTAACAAAATGAAAAACATTTAAGAGCTACGTCTATGCGATTCTTGCAATTGATTTCTTGCATATTTATAAAAAATTAATGTTAAGTTGCATTCATTTAAAATATAATAACAGCATCATATACATAATAAAAAGTTTTGCCTTAATTCATTTTTAACATAATTTCTCTTCTCTTCTCTTCTCTTCTCCTCTCTCTCTTTTGTTTTGTTTTCTTTCCTTCGTTTTGTTCTTTCTTTTCGTTCTGACTTTCTGCCGTTTTTTAAAACCAAAACACAGTACAGTGCACTAAAAATATCTCTAATTTACGATCAACTGTCTCATTCATTTAAATTTACTTTTCCTCTACTCTCTCGATAAACCTCTTTGTTTGTGTTTTGTTTTGTTTTGTTATTTTGTTATGCAATGCAATTTACTTAATAGCTATAGTTTAAAGTTAAGCTTAAGATACGATGTTGCTGATTGTTTAGTGGGTTGTTTGTTTGTTGTTTGCTTTGTCTGCGTGCGCCGTAATTTGAAATGCTAAATCCTCATATATAATTTCAGTTTATACTTTAGTTATTTAACGCTTAGCACTCTGCCATCTTGCTGCTGCTTGAAATTTCTTTAGAAATTTAGTTACGATTACTCTCGGTGTTTGTCCTCCCCTCTGTTCCCTTCGATTGTAACGAGTGCGGAACACAGCGTGGACAGATCCTAGCTTAGAGTTTCATCTGTTTTTCCTGTTGTGTGGTTATAGCTCATACATCGATTGTTGCCGCTGGTTGGGTTATCGGTTGGGTTGGGTTGGGTTGGGTTGGTTTGGATTGCGATGATATTCGAATGGGTTCTGGATTGGTTTGGGTTCTATGCTGAGAGCTTAATCCTCAGTCGAAGTGTGCGTGCATCCTTCTTGTACTACGAATAATAGATTGTATCTGTTGCTGCCAATAGACTTGTAGCTGGTGGTGGTGGTGCACATAGCTGCTGCCGGCACCCAGTCAGGTTCAGTAAACCTGACCACGAATCGGATTCTAGATGTTCGACTTGGAGAAGCTCACGCGCAAATGGTTGGACTCGGACAGCTGGTGGTTGTGCATTTTGATTAGTGCCAGGACGGCCTCCTCCACCGACGACAGCTGCAGCAGTGCCATCTTCCGGTCCTTACTGCTAGCACAAAGTTAAGAGAAGAATCTTTGGTTAGCCTCTGTCCGCCAGGAGCGCAAATGCCAATTACTTACGGGAAAAATTTGAATGCTTTGACTTCGAAAGTGTTTGAGGTGAAGGCTTCTTTGATGTCATCCTCGGAGCAGGATGAGCTGTGTGGGGAATGCAGAAATGATACATTGCTTAGATTCGGTTTAAAATTAACTGATATCGATTTATGCATGAGCGTTTTGCCACCCATGCCCACCCGCTGTGCCTGCTGTGCCGACTCGTTCATTGATATCGTCTCGGCAGGCGCTTCCCCCATTGCAGCTGACTCATAAATTTAGGCAGCTGAGAGCGGTGAGCAGGGAGGCTGCCCCAACCCAAACAGAGGGGCACACACAATGGCCTGCCAGGGCGCTTTGTCATATTTGGCAGACAAGCCGTTGCGGGGCGCCATCCCGAGCCCGAGCCCGAGCCCGAGCCCGGCCCTAGCCCGATCCCAGGCTGTTGCTCCTAGCGGTAATTGTAATTGCCTTGTCGTGCCCCGTGCTCTGGGTTTGCCCGTTATCCTATCAGGCAGTGTCGTGCCGCGCCATAGAGCGCCTGCCAACGCCTCATTGATGCTGCCGCAGGGCAGAGAATCCAAAAACAAAAAGCACGAATGGGCAGCCTCCAGCTGTGGGGCAGGGCATCTTTAAATGGTTTGAGACACTTACGGAATGTTACTTAAATGCAGTGTCGCCGATGGCGGATAGATGTTCTGGTAGTTCTTGCTGCCGGGCTTCTTGAAGCGATGCAACGGATTCTGTGAGTAGTCACGTGTCAGGCCCGCGTCCGGCTGTCCCTCCTTCGGCAGCTGCACGGCCTGATGTTTGCTGGCCATGACACGTATCGGCTTGCCCCATAAACGTAATTTATCAAGGTGAGACATGGCTGTAACAGAACAAACAAAACGAACACGTTAAAATGACGGCACACAAGTTTAGGGGCAAAGTTTATTCTGTTTTCTTGTGTATTCTTTTATGTTTGTTTGTTGGGCCATATGCCGCTCAAATTGGTGGTGGTGCTGGTATCTGTGTATCTGTAACTGCAAATGCAATTTATATGCTGTGCCACAAGCCATAAAATTGTTTTCTGGCGCCACCCACCGATAGTCGACGGAGACGCCGCCACTCGTCGAAGTTGAACAAAGTCAGCAATAAGTGCTGGCAAATATTTACATACTTGTGCTCGTACTCCTCCTACTCGTGCTGGTAGTGAAAACTGAAATGTAAATGCAACTTTATCAATGTCGATGTCGTCTGCCTTTGGTGATTTATACAAGCAGAAATGTAATGTGCTTGCTTGGCCGTAAAAGTATTACCAAACAAAAACTTCGCTTGAGCAGTGCCAGTGCCAGTGGCAGTCCTGGCCTCCTATCTGCTCCTCCCACGTTGCCTTATTTCTCATAACACCTGCGGCCCAGAACTGCATGTGCATTGGGAATGCCTTTGCCATGGCCAGAGGCAGTCGTACTTAAATACAGTTCAATTCCCAGTTCCATTTCCATTCCCATTCCTTTTCGTTTTCGTATTCGTTTTCGATTTCAATTTCGATTACTTTCTTTTTATTTAATTTCGGTTCAGTCTGCATCCCCCACTGATCTGCCCTGTGCCCTTTGTGCCGCATCATGCAAAGGCTTAGTCCACGCAACTGTCCAAGGCGATATCCTTTTCTCAATTTCATTTGCCGTGCATTATATTAATAAATTATATAGCATTTTATCATTGTAGGAGCAGTTGTCACGATTTGCTTTCGCAATGGAAGTGATAAAGGGAATCAAAGTGGAAGTGGGGACTGGGTCTCGGTCTCCTCTGTTTTATTGTCAAGTAATATGCTTACTCAGCCGTTTATTGTTCGCCTAATGGATTAAATGATTTTACAAAAAAAGCAAAAAAGAGGCCCACAGAAATATAATAAATTGTAAAATAAGAGAAGGAAGCAGCAGCAGCAGCAGCAGCAGCAGTGACAAAGGCTGTGGCTGTGGCTGTGCCTCTCCCGGTGCTCATATGCGGCCTAAACTTTTTGTTGCTTTTCGTTGTCGTTTTTTGTCGTTGTCGTTGTATGACAAACACTTGTAATAAAGATTAATGTGCAGGCGAGACACTTGCCCTAAAAGAAGGGGGAAAAGACGAGCCGCCACAACTTTGCCTACGAGCCACAAAGTGTTGCAGCTGCTCCTGGCTTTGGCTTTGGCTTTGGCTTTGGATGGGGGTCTGGTTCCGGAACTGGGCCCCAACTCAAAAAGTATCTTAAACTTTTAATTACTGGGCTGACCAGCAGCAACAACAACAACAAATCATTATTAACTTGCAAAAACAAAAGGAGCAAAAGGAGGCAAAAGGAGTGCACACGCACAGCTGAGCCACAGGTCCCAAAAAGTAAGTGAAATGACTCGTGGATGGAGTGCTCTGAGCACGGGTCTCTGTCTCTGTCTCTGTCTCTGGCTCTGTTTTATGCATGAAGTTCTTGGTTTAAGACTTTTAAGCAGCCCATACACTTGGGACAACCCCGAGGAGTCGGAGCTCCAGCTCCGGAAGCAGAGGCAAATGCGGCGCGGCTCAGGTGAGGCAGGATTTTACGGTGGGCTGGGGACTGTGACTGTGTGGGTTCCTGGTTTCTGTGAGAGATAACTCAATTGTAACTTTCATGATTTGAACGATTAATGTCCGGCAATGCCTTGACTATGATCTATAGCTCTGCACTTGCCAGACACTTTATTATCTCTGGCTCGTAAACTATGCAAAACATCCTCTCGGAGTCGTTTCCCCTCACCGTAATTAATTGTGAACACCGACCAAACGACGGACCAACCGAGTGCCAGGCGCCAAGTCATTCAAACAGTCACTTAGCATTGTCAAAGAGGCAGGGGGGAGCAGGGAGGGTAGAGCCTTCCCACAGCCCCAGAGTTGTGCCGAAAACTTTCAGAAAACTCTACTCGTATTTCCAGGGCAGCAGCCAGACACCGAGACACCCGAGATTCCACATGGCGTATGCGTAATGGACCATAATATATATGTTGCCATAGAATGTTGCCAACATATGTCTGTATGTGTGTACGTGTGTACGTGTGTGTGTGTGTGCGCTTGTTTGTTTGCTTTTATTGTAAATGCCTTTATGCGTACGCTTATGCAAAATATTTGGTAGTAATTTGTACAGAATAACAGAAGCTGCAAATTTATTTACGCAAAATTCCCCAATACGAGTGGCAGAAGGAGAGAGCAGGCGGCAGGCGGCAGGCAGGAGGCAGTCAGGCAGTCAGGCAGTGGAATCACGCATGCAGACAGCGGACGACAGCTGCTGGGAGTGTGCCAATAAATTTGTGGGCGACTGGGTCTATTCCTGTACATAGTTTCGTAATAAGTTGCGCAAAAACTTAATCCCGCCCAGCAACCAATTCCACCAGAGCAGAGTCCCCCCATTTCCCAGCCTCCGCCTACGCTACTCGCATTTCAGCTCCGATTTCCTGCTTTCCTCACACACCTCAGACTGGACGTTGGGGGGATGTCCTGGGGTCCTTACCCATGCTTATTGTTTTTTCATTGTGTGTTTTAGTCTGTTTTTGCCTCTGTCTGTTGCCTTCTGATTGCTGTCGCACTTTGTTTCGGCCGAGTTTTGTCTCCGTGTCCGTGTCCTCCACTGTCCAGCCTGTCTGTTGTCTCCCATTTGCTGTTGACTTCACTTACAAAAAGTTTTTTGCGCCTTTACGCTGTAATTCGTATGCTGAGTGTGCAATTGTAGCCGTATTTTGTGGGGACTGACTGGGACACCCACACCAGGACACGACCCGGACTCGGGACAAGGACAAGGCCCACACCTTCAATGGCATAACGCACAGCACCTTACGAGACACTTTCCTATGCATGAGTGGGCGTGAGTGGGTGCGGGTATGGGTGTGGATATGGGTGACCCTGGACAGCTGCTGTTCCCCTGCTTCATGGTCCGTGGCTCGAGTTCCCTGCCCTCTGCTCCGCTTTTGCCGGGCTGTCGGTAATCGTCTTTGTTTGTTGGAGTTGGCGAGAGTTTTGGGCAAAGTAACGAATGAATTTGTTAATATTTTATGAGTGCATAAGTGCGCACTCTCCATCCGCACTCCCCACTGCCATTCTCTCTTGCTACTTCATTGCCTTTCAGACTGCTACCTGGACTGGGTGTCCAGGAGCCAGGAGCCAGGAGCCAGCGGAAGTGTTTGCCATTTGGCAGACCTGGCGGCACATTAGTAGTCTATATGCTGCCGCACTGCCATTAATATTTTCTCATGCCCCAAGCTTCCATTTCTCTCTCTCTCTCTCTTTCTGTGTGTTTGTGTTTCAGCCTGGGGAGGTGTGGCTGGTCTAGGACTTGCTCCATGTTTAGTACAATAATTTGCTTGTTTGGTCCAAGCATTTGACTGGCTCTGGTTTTGGGTGCTATGAATATTTTCGGTGGCACTAGTATTGGCGGCTGTTCTCGTAGTTTTATCAGCTGCAGCCGCTGGCATTTTGTGGTCTGCATTCCGTCAAATTTTGGGACAAATTTAATTAACATTACGCAAAGGCAAAAATAGTCAGCATTTTGCAATGCATTTTGCAAGAGTGCTGCCGAAAACTGATTAGCCCGCGACCGCTCTTTATAGCAGTGAAAATTCATGCACAAATAATTAAGAAAGAAAACCCTCAAAGGGGGAAATGGAATGCGTTTGATAGCAGTGAGCTGTGAGCCAAGGAATGCGACACACAGGATGCACACGGGGACACAGAATGCGGCGGAAATGCATGTTTGCATAATGATAATTAAAAATTTAATTGAGTACAGCACAAAGCATATTTTTAATGCAACATTGCATATGCCCAAAGGGACGGGGGACTGGCATAGCAGTTTGGCGACAAGCTGGCGAAAATAGTTTGCGGTTCTCGTGGGTCGTGGAATGTTGCCCCAAGGGCCTCCGTGTGTGGTGGTGTCCATATGCTGCTGCTGGGATTTTTCGATCCCACGTCGACCCTTCCACGCCCACGCCCACCCCACCACTCACTTATTTTATTTCCATTTAAATCAATAAACAGTTGCTGGCATTCATTATGCAGTAGCTTACGTTTTTCTCGCCCTGCAATTTGCTGTCAATTTCCGTTGCTGCGATCGGGCAGCGCTGCGCATTGCATTTATTGAGAAGATTAAATTTATTTAAACTTTATTAACAGCAGAAGGACGCTGCCGGCTGCCGGCCGCAGCAGTCGTGACAGAAAATATCATTGATAAATTACACGTGTGCAAGCGATTAATGGCAATGCGTGGAGCATGTCCTTCTGTCCTTCTGTCGGTTGTCATAGCATACTTTTGTGGGCCCAAAATCAGCTTCAAGCATAAGCAGCTAATAACTGCAGACCAGCCCAGACTCAGTTCCAACTTATTAAATGTTCATAATTAGCGCATTTTTAACGCTTATCAGCAATGGCAATAAAGCCGCCCAGGATAAAGTATAATTGGTTGTCCCGTCCAACTGGTTCTGGGCTTCGGTTCGGTTCTTTTCAATTAAAGGAGAGAGAAAAGCGCAATGGGGCGGCCGCAGCGGGCACTTTGACGGCTTTTGAGTTATTTTTTCCAATGAATAAATAAAACAAATGAACAAACAAACGAAAGACTGACAGAAGAACAGCGAGAAAGACGCAGACCAAAGCGGGCGCACACTGGGGCGCCGCTGGATATAGTTGGCGTGTTAAATGGAATAAAACCAAATCGAAATTGAAAATGAAAGGTGTCGCTGTCATCGGACTGCCAGAGCCACTGCCACTGCCACTGCCAGTGGCAGTGCCACCGCCCCTAGGCATTGCTCCTGCTGCTCCTGTTTTTGTAATAAAGTGGAATTTGGCACGTCGGTTGGTTGCTCTTAACGCATCGCGATGCGATACGATGCGAGAGGACTTTCATTTCGCTTAATGCGTACAGAAATAGCCCAGCTGGGTGGCTCGCCCAGCCTGGCAGCAGCCTCACAATGGCAAAGTGCACACAAATAAATGCAATAAAATGATTGGCATGTCCCGCTGAGCAGCCCGAAACAGGCGAAGATCCTTTGTTGCCTTGGGGTCTGGCCATGGGTTCGGTGTTGGTGTTGGCGTTGGTGGCGGTCTCGAGGTCTAGGTGGAGGTCCGTGGATGTCCTGGGTGTGGACCTGGACCAGGTGTTGCCTGCTTCCGTACAGGCGCACGCTGGTAATAAAGCGCTTATAAAATTTCATTTATGCACCCAGCCAGCCATCGCTCTCCTCCTCCGATGGTCTCCCAGCTCCAGCTCCAGTCTCCATCTCCAGCTCCAGCTCTGGCTCTGGCTACGGCTCTTTGTGGGCGTCGGCATCCTCTTGTGCCAGCTCTTTTTCGCTTTAACAATTTTTATTATTAATACATTTTGTTTGCTGCATTTGCAGTGGCAGGCTGCAGTCTGCAGCATCATCAGCAGCAGCAGCAGCAGCAGCAGCAGGTTACGGTTGCCAAAAGAATGCATCCTCCCAGTTTGGAATTTCATGTTGCTGGAATTTTCATTTTAAACAAGCTGCAAATTGCAGTTGCTCTTTTTCTGCAGTTCCCCCTGCTGCCCAGGTCGAGGATGGTTCAGATTCAGATTCAGATTCAGATTTTTCATTACTTTCATTTCGTTTCGTTTTGTTGTGTATTTTGTGGGGGCATATTGTCTGTGTATTCTCTGTATATATTTGTTTGACTCACCTAAGTATGCTTGCTGGGGCTCCGCCATCTGTATGAGTGCCGAGTCCTTTTTGTTGTACAAAATCTTTACACGTTGCACATCGCCGTATACACCTGTGAATGGGCAGATGAGTGGGGAATGATGATTATTATTAGCTTTGGTTGAAGGCAAACACAAATAAAAGTATCTCGAATCTAATTTCATTGCATTGCCACTAAAACTAAACGAGTGTCGCAAGTATTTCGAATGTCGAGACAGAGTCTAGAGGCAGAGAGATGACAGATTGTAGCTGCTGCACACAACTAATGACACATTCTTTGTGGCTGCACATTATTCAAGTGTCCATGGAGCTCGCTGCTAGTGGATATTCCGTAAAGTTTTACACGCCACCAAAAAGCCATAAAATATACGCGAAGATATCCACTATCCCCCGGCTTCGGTTTCCCACGTGTCGTGTGTCTGTTTCTGTGCTTCTGCGGCTGGCAGGAGGAGCACTCGCATTATTGCCGTGGGCGACTCTGTTAGTATCATGTACGAGAAACTCATAACTAGCTCAATAAGTTCGCTCCGCTCTTTTTTTTACGAGCCTCAATACCAGCCAGAGAGCTGCTGCAGTTTCAGTTTCAGCTTCAACGTCTTCGGCTTCATCTTCTACCGTGTCCGTGTCCCTGCTCTTATCCCTTTTTAAGGCCGCAGCATGCCACAGATTTAACAGCGCTGCCAAGCAAAAACAAAAAAAAGGAGAAGAAGGTGCAACTTTTCGGCGCAGTCCAACGCGTTATTGAATTGTATTTTACGAGCTTACTTACGCCACAAAACTGTGCAATATGCGGGGTCCTCGGAGCACCGAGTCGGAGCTCTCCATTAAGAGTCGGACACGTACTTTAAGAATTTAAGTATTTGGGGATGTAGCAGCACCAGGAGCTACACTGCTCCTTGTTATTGCTGGGATTGGTCATTGGACTTTTGCTTTGACAGCTGCCCGAAGGTCGGTCCATTGGCCCTTGAACGCTTGGGCGACTGGCTGGACTGGACTCTGCCTGGAACCCTCTGGAGTCCCTTCAGCCATGTGGAGCCAATCAGCGGCAAATTTGAAGCAGGGCGCAAATTGCCATCAAGCATACAAAAAAATAGTTGCCAGGGGTTGCGAGGCAAGGGCAACCCCAATGCAAACAATGTAAAGTGCAGGACTTGCCCCTGCCACTCCGCTCCATCTGCTGCTGCTGCTGCTGCTGCTGCTGCTGCTGCTGCTTTTCGCCCAAGACAACAAATCGAATAATGCGCAAAGTAAATTTTCAACTACTCGCAGTAGTCCGATCCACACAGAAAAATACAAGAAAAAACCAGCAGAATCGGAGTAAGAAAAGAAGTTAAAACTTGGCAAGCAATGTGGCCATAAAAGTGAGGGGCAGGCAGTCAGTCGAAGCGTAGCGAAGCGAGCGGAGCGCTAACAAGTTACAAAAGTAGCAATGGAAATGCAGGTAGTAGTAGTACTCGTAAATAGAGCAGAGTTGCAGGAACTGGGAGCTGGGAGCAGGACACACAGTTCAACAGTTGGCAGTAAATCCATTTTATACAGATGACTGGCTACCTGACTGACTGACTGGCTACAACTAGAGCTTCTGCTCCCTGTGGCTGTGGCATGCTAGTCCTGCTATCCTCTGCAGCGTAAACTGCTAACTTGACTTATGCCAAACACCGAAAAATTTCGTTTTGCCAGAAAATTTCATGGCAACAATTGCAGGCAGAAAAGGAAGAAAAAAGTGGGAAGGCCAGACTTGGATGGAAGTATATGCAGGTATTGGCAGTGAAGCGTATTGAATGCCAGTTCTTCTCTGCATCTCACTGCTGCTTCTGCTTCTGCTTGTGCTGCTGCTGCACCAGTCACCAGCATAACTTGACGTCCAACGGGGCGTATGAGAAGCTGCCGGTTGCCGGCTTGCCGGTTTGGCCATGCAAAGTGCCTCGAACCGAAACCACCCAGCGGAAGGCGGCAGCAACGGCATCCGACATCCGACAGACTTGATAATAATTTATTATCGGCTATATTTGCACAGCCACTGGCACACTGCAGGAGGAGCAGGCATGGAGGGGAAATGTTGCTCGAGGTTTTAGCTGCCGCTTCTGTGTGCCGTTTTTTATTCATTCTTTTTTTATATTTTTTGTGGGCTGCGCGACACTAACGTATGCAGACAGCGACGCCGATTCCCAGATGGCCCATTAGTCGTCTGTTTGAGCATATTCTAGATGAAGAAATATGCGGCTGGCGCTGCCACATTAGCCCGAGAGTCTATAAACTTTTGTTTGGCCCCGCACCAGATCGATGTGGATCCACTTTAACCCTCACAGCTCCATATGTTGTGTGCCATCTAATGGCAGAGATAAAATTGAAATTCCATGCAGTTTCCGCCATTTAATCATGCAAACTGTTTGTCACCTTTCAAATTATTTTGCAGCTAAAACGATTTACCGGATTGACATTTAGTTTGCATTTTGCCGTGTATAAGCTGGTGGCAGGGAGGGGAATGCCGAGTGCAACACTATCGAATTGCATTGCTGCCACAACATGCAGCGCATATACAATTTTATGAAATTATTTCGCGTGCACAGGAAATCACGCACCAAGGAGCAGGAGAGCAGGCGAGCCAGCGAGCAGGAGAGCAAAAGCTAAACGCATAAAAATTCAATTAAACACGTTTCAATAATGATATTTTCGGGGGCAATCATATAAATTTTTATCACGCCATTACAATTATGTAAGCGGATTACAAGCGGAGCATATGTCGATATCTGTATCTGTTTCTGCATTTCCCCCTGTTTGTTCCCCAGACGATTTGCCAGACTGATTAAGTTTTCTTTTATTGTTATGCAAAAGCGAGCGAGCGGAGGGGAAAGTCTCTCCCCTGGCTGGATGTGGCCAATCCATGTGTGTGTTTGGTTCTTGAGTGAGGCAAGGACTTTATTGAATGCTTGACAGCATAAGCGGCATGTGTCAAGTGTCTAAAGAGCATGCCCCAGAGAGCCCATGGGTCCTGGATCCTTTCGATTGAGTCGTCCTCGTGTAGGCTCAAGCTCTGCTGGCTCTCAGACTCAGGCGCAACAAAGCGCTGTCAAAACTAATAAAATGTCTGACTGCCGCCTGGGCCTCGAAAAGGGTTTGCTGGGGCCCAAAACTTTTGCCTGCCCTTTCCCAGCCCTGCCGAAGTGTGCCATTTTTTCTTGGGTTTTTTTCTCGGTGTGTGCCACTGATGGCTAGATCAATCTAAACGCACTGCCGTTTGAAGTTCCGTTGCTGTCTCTCTCTCCCGGACTCCCCGCTTGCCACTCTTATTATTTGGCATGCAAACAGCTTTCAGGTGAGCAAGCAGCGAACCGCACAATGGCCCACGGACCCAGGCTCTGCCCCCTCCAAGAATGCTCAGCGCCTTTTGAGCTTGAGGCAGATGTTTGAAGTGCAAAATTTGCCACCTCTCGTGCCTCACATGTGTGGAAATTGTTGTTACGTGTCCCTCCTGCGTGTTGCCATTAACATAACAAAAGCAACCGTTTGCCAGTTGCCATTTGCCACTTGCCGCTTGCCGCTTGCCGCTTGCCACTTGCCAGTTCCTTGTTTGTCGTACAACCCGCCTCTTAAGTGTCTGTCCCACTGTCTGTCCCGTGTCTGCTTAGCTACTTGGAAATTCAAAGGTTATTACATAAAATTTTAGCTTGCCATTTGGCTGATTGCCCGACTCCTAGCTGGCTCCTGGCCGACTCCAGGCCGACTCCTGGCTGCTGCCGTCAATTACTCGCTGGCTGGCGACCAAGTTTATCTAAATCTATTGGCACTTCGCTGGCTCTGGAGCCTGGCAGTTTGAGAGAAGGTCAATAATAATACGCTTAACGTTCAACTTATCGACATCTCCTGGCTCTCCGTCGGGCTCGTTGTCGTTCCCGTTCTGGCTGTGCAACGGTGCGTATGATGTATCTAACTTTTTTGCTACTTCTTTTTCCTGTTGCTCCTGTACAGCAGTTTCTCCTTTGAAGCGTTTAATCAGCAATCTAAGCTTTATTAGCAGTGCACTGGCAGCTGCCAGACGATGCCAGAGCTGGTCCTCCTGCTGCTGCTGCTGCACTCGACTAAGCAGTCTGCTGATCGGCTTTCCTGTGGCTCAGTTGCCCTAAGTCTACCCCAAGGACTGTTGGCTGTTTGGCTAGTCCACACTGTCTGTGGCAGACTCCAAATCCCTGAGTACCCCCTCCCGTGTCAACACACAACGGACAATTTTTAAGCAATTAATACGTTTGGCAAATTTTTGCTTACTCCGAGCGATAAGCCCCACAAACTGCTGACAGAATGCAGTGCAATTTGTGCGTCGTAAATATAAATCAAAGGCAGCAACGAGGGTCCCAGGTTAAGGCAAAAGCAAGCGGCTTAAACCAACGACCGACTACAGCACCCCAGTCCGCTCTTGCAGACCGTTCTCTGGCCAACCAGCCAACGAACCATTCGGCTCCCCACTGACCTGCCTGCCCTGGACCCTGTTCGTTGTGGTTGCGTTTGTTTGGCAAAAGTTTATATTTGGGTATTTAAACTCAAATTAAATGCATTTGCATGCAAACAAAGGGCGCACACACATGGAACTCCCTCTTACATGTGTGTGTGTGTGTTGCCGCAAACAAACCGTTTTGTGTCACCAGAGACAAAGGGAGTCAGTGAGAGACTTAACATTGTTGCTGCTGCGTATGCGAGTGTCTCTCCTCTCCTCTCAGAGTCATTGTGGCATTGTGCTGTTGTTGCAACACAAACACACACCCACACACACACTCGAAAAATACACCAGAGAGAACTGTGGTGGGTGTTATTCTTGTTTCTGTTGCGGCAACAAAATCCATTATGCTGCAATTATGAGCCACACTCGGCTGCATAGAGATAGCCCCGCAGATAGACCCTGAGAACAAAATTTAACAAAAACTTGACAATCGATGTATTTTGGTAATTAAATCAAGTACATAATGGACGAATGCTGGCCAAGACTTGTCTCTGTGTGCAGCGCAAGTGAAAAGTCAAGTGGAAATGCCATAAAATAATAAAACCAGCCACACAGACACACAACCATCCACCCACCCACAGAGGAGGGAGACACAGAGCAATTCAAACAGCAAACCCCATTAACTTTACAAAGTTAGTTAAATTCATTTGGCAAACAGACGACAGACAACAGACGACAGACAACAGACGACGACAAAAACCAGCAAAGAGACAGGAGAACCCAACCAGAATATTCCCCACTCGTCGTACCATCTAAGGAAGCAAAACCAAACGCAAGCCCAAGCCCAAGCCAAACCCAAGCCAAACCGACTACGAAAAGTCACAAGTAAATTTTATTTCAATTGTAAAAGCCAGCAAAAACTACAATACGATTGTGGTCCGTGTGTGAGTGGAATAAAAGGAGTACACACATACAAACATATGTATGTGGTAAAAGGGAGAATGGAGACCACACACACACACTCACTGAGAGAGAGACTGAGAGACAGAGGCAGAGCTACAATGGCGACAGCAACAAGCGCAATGATAACTAAATAAATGGACATTTTTATAGCTATGCACTTCCGCACTCAATCTTTTGTGCTGCCAGAATCTGTGTGTGTGTGTGTGTGTGTGTGGGGCAGGATGAGCACATGTTAAAGCATGTGTTTTGTGCATGCATTTTAGCCCCACACACTCTGGCCCCCGGATGCCCCTGGGCGGCAGCGCAACAATGGGGCCGAACGTGGAGCGGAGTACCCAAGCCACGACGAGAGCACACACTTAATTCATGTAATTTTACACAGACACAGGCACACACACACACACACTCTCGTTTAGGGGCGAAGAGAAGACAACGCTGAAGCAACAAGCGGATGCACAAGTGCTGCAGAAGGAACGCTCCTAGTCCTCGCCCGAGTGCGGTTTCACTTGTTGCCTTTTCAGCCAGGAAGGGAATGATGCCCTGCCCTGCCCTGCCCTGTTCCGTTTTTAATATATGTACATGACGTTGGAGGGCATTTTCATTTTCATTTTCATTGTTTTACAATTTGTAAGCAGAACTTATGACTGGATAAATGGCAGCAGGAACACGGACACTGGTCTCCCACAACTATTTCAATTTCAAGCTGCCTGATGGATTTGCCGGACCCGACTGGGACTGGGACTGGGACTGGGACTCTGGCTCTGACTCTGACTCTGGTCCGGGTCCGAGTTCCTATTCATGCAGCTGGCAAAAAGCTATTAGAAAGCCATTTGTTGCTGGCTTTAGCCAGGTCTCTTTCCATTTGGCAATACAATAAATACTGGCAGTGCCAGTGCCAGTGCATACACTTTTTATGTTTCCCCACCACTTGAATGGGTTTTATGACCTGATCGAGGTGCACAATCCCACAACTCCAGTGTGTAGATTATTGGCTTTTGGGTTTTCCTTTACTAAATTGCTTCGATCGCTCTCTGCGTTGAGCTCTCCCGGTAGTTCTGCTGAGGGAATGGCTCCGGCTTTATATTTCCCACATGGCGGATGCATTTTATGTGCCACCGTTGCATGCACCGATACGTTTTTTTAAGGCTTTTTCAATATTTTAAACATTTTGTGCCGCTTTTCAGTTCTTCGGCTTTTTTTTTGTCAGCTCTTGCTTTGTTACCCCTGTCCGCCTGTCCCTCCTCCTCCTCCACATATATGTATAAATAATTCATGGCACTTTTGCTGATTGCACGTAAATGGCGTAAATGCCAAACGGAAGCGGAAACAGGGACAGAGAGAAAGAGAAGGGGAATGGGAATGGGAATGGGAAGAGAGCCGTGGATTCTTTTTTGGCCTTTGGGCAGACATTTCACTCGACTCGGTACGTACAGTGTAAATTCAATGAATAATCAAGTAAACTACTTATAAATTGTTCAAGAGGTGTAAATATATGTATGTGGGGCACATGGTGTGTGTGTGTGTGTTGGCCGGGGCAAGGCTAGACGCCGGGGCAAGCATTCGTACGGTTAGAGATAGATTCAGACTCGGAGAAGTTACAGAGAACAAAAGAGAGTGTGAGAGAGAGAGAGAGAGCTAAGAGATACTTTGGGAACAAGTTCTACGAGTGTATCCATCTCTCACCGCCGTACTCCGCCCCCCAGCGCCTTCGCATTGCGCCACAAGACAAACGGAAACATAAAAATTAATAAAGTATTTGTTTTGGTTTTTTTTTTGCTTTGTTTTTTTGTGCAGACGTACCAAAGAGGGTAAAGAGAGCATCAGGCGTGACCATCTACAGAGAAAAAAGAGAAAATAGAGTATTGTCGTCAGTTAGCGAGAGATTCGTTTTAGGTGTATTACAAATTAAATAATAAACAAACAAATAAACACAAGAGTTAACAATAAACAGTAGAAAAATCAATGACAATTACAGGATGAATGAAGAACTGGCCATGGACCAGAGAGAGAGAGAAACCAGACAGACAGACGGAGAGCGAGAGATCGAAAAACTGTAGGCGAAAAAAGTCTCTCCGGGTTGCATACATTTTAATTTACATTTTTTATATACACATATTTTGTTTATGTTTTTTTTAATAGTTAATATTTAAATGGTTTGAAATGCAATAAAACAAATAATCGCACGTTGCGGCGCACTATTTGCTTTGGTATTTGCTTAACCGAGAAAAGAAGTTGGAAAAAAATGCCAAAGGATTTTAAAATTAAATACAAATAAAATATGCAAACAAAATAAAAGGAATATTTGATAAGCAAACATGAAAGGCAAACTAATTGAAAGACTTTACGAATATTTTACTATATCATAATCTAGTGTGAAAGAGAGAGTGGGGTTGGGGTGGGTCGAATGGGGGAGAGCCCGAGAAACCCTGGCATCGGGGGACTACTTATGGCAAACATATCATATCTTTAAGGAAAAATCACAGACTGATAGAACTTACCTCCTCATTTAAATTCGAGACGAGCAATACATTCGAGTAGCCGCGCATGGCCGGTGCCGTGGACTGCAGGGCCCCGCTGTTGGCCAGCGAGAAGGCGGCCAGATTGGGCAGGGCGTTGCTGTAGCCGCCGGTGAGCTGTGTGCCCAGACCCAGGGCAAACGGTGGCAGGACACCAGGAGCACCCAATCCATTGACTAAAAGAGAGATCAAGATCGAGCAATGTGAGTTCTATATCCGGATTTCATATGCTTCTATGTATGTTGCATGCAACTTAAGCTCTAGGTGTCTAGACGAATCGATAGCAAGTGTAAAGCCAGAAAAAGACTAAAACAAAGCATAGATATATATCTTCGTGTGTATGTGTGTGTGTGTGTTTGTGTGTGTGTGTGTGTGTGTGAAGCTTAGGAAAACATAAATGATAGAAAAAATCGGGAAAATGTTCCGTTCGTGTTACCTATTTTATCACCTGTTAGGGAGGGCCGCTGGCGGGCGGCAATCAATAGCAGATCGTTGGTGTTCATCAGTCCGCCAGCGGTGGGCATCAGATCGACGCCGGGCTCGCCCGGTGGCAGCGCGGGATTCGTAAAGTCGCGCGACTTGTCGTTGTTGTACTTCACATTCAGGGCCGTCAGCTTGCTGTTGTCAATGCGAAGCGTGCAGCACCCATTGTAGATGTTCTGCCCGTCCAGCAGGGACTTGGCATGCTGGGCGGAATTGGCATCCGGATATTGGATGAGGGCCTAACGAAGAGAGAGCGAAATACGTTAAGTTACAACATGGCTAATCCCTTGGGGGTGGGGTCTGCTTACCTGGAATGAATTGTTTTTGGTGAAGGTGACAATCTTCAGCACCTTGCCGTACCGCTGGAATATCTGATGCAATATGTCCAGCGATACCGGGTACATCAGCGACTCGACAATCACCCGGAGCACCGTGTTGGGTCCGCCGGCGGCATTGCTATTGTTGCCGGCACTGTTCACCGCACTGGTGTTGTTCTGCAAAATTCCAACGGCGCTGCTGTTGCTGTCGCCGGAGTTGTTGGCATTGTTGCTGGTGGCATTGGCCGCGCACAGAGGCAGCGGAGAGCCGCCGGCCGGCGACTGAATGCGGTAGTCGCTCTGCCCCACAGAGTTCTGCAAGAGAGAGAGAGGCGAAAAGAAGTTGATAGAGATGTTCGAGTCAATTTACTACCGGAAACTTTTATTAGTTAAAGGCGCCAAAACTTTTGCGCATTAATCAAAGGACGGCGACTGGCAATGCACAAAATTTATGCAGCAGCCGACAAGTTATTTTTTCTAGCTTGTACTTCTTGCAGAAGGGACACAGACAGGACACGGCCAGGAATATGCTAAACGATGGCTTGCAGGAAGTAAGCGAAACACACGGCAAGGCAAGGAGCTCCCATGGAGCAGCAACATAAATCTCAATCAAAATCAATAATATCAAGTATCGTAATAATAAAAGGAAACCCTTAAAGGGGGGGAAACGGGAGTCTGCCACTGACTGGAGGATGAGGAAGTGACGAGGATGCCAGGGAGGCCGGCTCTTAGTGAGCAACAAAAAAATGAAATAAAAGCAGAGCGAAAACTTCTTGCGTGGAAATATACACGTTCTATCGGAAAACAATTTAATGACATTCGGAAGTAAATGTATTCCTATTCGTGCTGAATTTTGATTTCGAAAATCATAACGTAAACACATTCGACCGCCCACCTGCCCACCTTCCATCCCCCCTCCACGCACAGCCATTTTCCCTCCTCCTTTGCGACGCGTTTCTGTTTCTGTTTCGGTTTTTTTTTTTTTGTGCGCTTGTCAGCAGCAGCAACAGGAGAAAAAGCGGAAGGAAAGCAAAGGAAAACCTCTCTAGTCGCCATTGCCAGCGTCAATCCTCCCCAGGCGTGCTATTTGTTTCTGCCTCCTAGATAAATTCCTCTGAACGACCGAAACAAAGACAAGGACGACGTGAGCTCTAGCTATAGCTAGCTCCGCTGGCTGTGTGTGGGCCTGCCAAAGTTTGTAAAAATAATAAAAATTGATTAGAATTGCCAGAGTGCTGCTGCGTGGCTATACACGCCGTATCCTCGTATGTGGAATGTATAGCACTGCCAGAGCACACGCTCCCCCCACGCCACCACAGCGACGAGGCAACGATGATGCGGCTTCTTCATCTTCGATTGCCTTTCCTCCTCGAGATGCCTGTGGGAGACCAACCAGCCAGTCCTGGGGTCTGGGGTCTGGGGTCTATGTTCTGGGGCCCTGCTGCTGTAATTTGATACTTCACTTTGCCTGATTATTATGATGACGATGACGTTGATTGTGTAAAAATTGTAATGTAATTGTTGAGAAGCGTTTTGCCCATCTATTTCCTGCTTTCCTGCTTTCTGCTGCCTCCGCTGTTTTGCTTTCCATCTTCTACTTCTACTCTGCGTGTGTGTTTGTGCTCTCCTTTTGGACCCTGTTTAAACTTGGTTAACATTAACTAGCTGTCAAATGGGCAATTGCCAGGCGTTTAAGTACTTTGATAATTGTGCATAACCTTCCACTAGCGACACACACAACACCCCAACCAATGGGGCATAGGGTGAATCATGTGTGGGAGAATGGTCAAACTTCCAGACAGTTTGTAGCTATTTATGGCTTTATAATAACCGCCGTCCAAGCCAGACACCCAACAACACTGAAATATTCGGGCGGCCAACTGGCAGGCCCACGCGGTACACTCAGAGACGAAAAGGGCAGCGAAAAACGAAGCACAGCGATATTTAAATTTAGTACAAACAAAATAGTGATAAGATAAGATAAGGTTAAAAAGATATTTTGGGTTTGCAATAAAATAGTATCTTCAATTTGTGGCAAATATTTATTTATTTATACATTTCTATGAATATTCATTTCCAATAGTGCATTTGGACTTTGTTTTCTCTGCGTGTACAAAGTATTGGTCTAAGGCATTCTAATTATCTGACAGCTTTGGGGCTGGAGTCCAACACAGGGACAGCGACAGCGACAGCGATAGGGGACTGAGGACTGGGGGCTGTGGCCATGCAACCACAACCAGCAACATCATTAAACAAAGCAAATCGTTGCCAGTGTGTGTGTGTGTGTGTGTGTATGGAATATGATTATGCTAGTATCAGTGTGTGCGTGGGTGTATGTGTGGCATGATTATGTATCTGTGTGTTTGCATCGGCCTTTGCTTGTCGCGGTTTTGCCTGTTAATGAGTCAATTGTGTGTTTCCGCTTCGCATTGTGGGTATTCGTAGTGTGTGTGTGTGTGTGTGTGTGTGTGGCATTGATTAGATATGTATACAAACACCAACTAATACTCGAGCACAAGTTACCCAGCACACACACAGACACACCACCACATTGTTATAATTTAATATGACCGAGTGGCCGCGCCATCCTTCCGTGCGATAATGCGGCATTTGATAAACCAAAATGCTTTGATAAGCTAAACGTATCAGGGAACAACTAGTGACGGCAAAGCTGATAAGCATATTTATCGATCGATTCGAAACGAAACGTTTTTTTCGGATGGGAAAATCTACACAAAGGAGACACATGTCTGGCCCCCAAAAACTACAGAGAAATATCCGCCAAGTGGCAGGCAAACAAAAATCTAGAAATCTCTGCTTAGATATTCTGCTTCGAAAACTACTCGCAGAAATATTCACAAGCAAAACTTTTCACTACAGGAAAGGGAGGATCCGAGCAATTGTTCTATGATTCTGATGTGACACTTTGTCGTATTTTCTCCCTTTTATTTTTGCTCTTTTTGCATAAGAAACAATGCCAGAGGAGGGGAGCAGGGAGCTGGGAGCTGGGAGCTGAGGCGACAAAGAATATTGACGCTGCCTTTCACTTAAAGTTTTGCATAAATATTTTTGTTTCGCGCAGCTCTTTCCCGGGACGCTGCCACTTCTTCCTGCCATTTTCCCATTTTACTTTTCCCTTTTCCACACCTTTTTTTTTTGGGCGGAAAGTTTATTTTCATTGCAATGTCACACTGAGTGCCGCCGCACCGTCTTGGCCTCTGCCTGTGAAGAAGGCTGAGGCACACTTTAAACTGCACGGCAAGCCCTTTTTGGGGGCGAGGGCACAAGGCACACGGGCACAAGTGTCGTCGCTGTCGCCCCTCCACAGTCAAGGCGAGCACTTGGCCGGGCTTAAGTGCTGTGGGCCAAGTTAAGAAGTAAAGCAGCTACTGCTGCTTGGCCACAGCTTCCCGGTGCCACTGCAACCACTGCCTGTGCCACTGCCACTGCCACTGCCACTGCATGCGTGGCAAGTTCGCCAAGGAGCTGGCTGCTGGCTGCTGGCCTTTTCCTGTTGATGGAGTGGCTGAACCACGAGCGTAAAGCTGCAAAAGTGTAAACTTTTTTGGCAACAGCTACACTTCACGTACAACAAGTTATGAGGTGGTTCTGTCCTGTAGTTAAGTTTTAAAGCTGAGCCCTGGATTATGTATTACTTTGCTGTGGTTGCCCACCAACGAACGACAGAGAGGACGACTCGTTTATCTGTTGCCGGGAGGAGCTCCCCTGTCCCCCGGCCATTCCGGCTCAACCGTTCGGCTGCTGATGCTGCGTGGTTTTTATGGTCAGAAGAGAAGGATGCCAAAGCCAGAAGCAGCTTGAATGAAACTTGTGCAAAGTGCATGAAGCGGTTACAGTGAAAACAAAACAATATTTGTCTTATTTATGCAAAAGGCAAACGAAAATAGAAAACCACGTAAAATGTGTTAAAAGCCTTTTGGCTGAAGAGAGAGAGAGAGTCAGAGCCAGGGCCATAAATAAATACGCAAAGCAGGAAAATCCGCTGCCGTTTGCCTAAAAATAAAGTAAATATACTGCACGGTCGTAGGAAAACAAAAAGGGAAAAGTCTGTGCAAAAGGCAAAAGGCAAACATGTATTTTGGGCAAACCGTAATAGAAAACTAATCAATACAATGAAAACATTGACATTGTAGCTGTAGCAAAAGTCACTGCAGAGACACATACAGAGATAGAGAGAGATGTCAGTTGTCATCCTCCTGTTGCTCCCTCTCTCGGCTCTCTCTCCACTCTACGGTGCGACACGCAAGTGTGTGAAACAATGTAATTTAAATCCATTTTCAACACGTCACCAATCAAAATGGCAAAAAGCTTTCGCCAGCTACGAGCTATAAGCAAACAGAACAGAGCATAACTCAAAGGATCAGAGCACATACGCGGGCTGCTCTGTCGCCGATGCTGATGCTGATGCTGTTGCTGATGGTTTTGCGCTCCTTCTGTTGTTGGCAAAACAATAAGATTAGCTTACTTCTCCTTTGGCAATGTGGCGCAAAAGTAAACGTGAAAATAAAATGGGAAAACAGCAAAGAAAAACACAACCGCCACGAATAGAAAAATAAACAACGCGCACACACACAGACACTCGTAGACAGGAGTGGGAGAGAGGCATATGTGAAGTTATTTGCACCGTCGAAATCCTTTAACTGCACAGGCCTGAGAGTTAGACAAATAGCGTGCCAAAAGGAAAAGGCCTCATAAGCCGGTTTCAGCTTTAGCTTCAGCCTTTCCTTGCAGCATCGACGACAGGCTGTCAGGACGACATGCCGACAGGCAGGCCGCAAATTAAATAAAACATTGAGATCTCTGTCTACGCTGAGCCCTAAGCCAAATAGGGACTGGGGCTCATATTATTAACACCAAATCAAATGGCGCCTGCAACTACATAATATGTATGTGTCCCATCTCCCGCAGCATTAATTTTGGTCTCCCTGTGGCTGTCGCTTTGGCTGTGATAAGCCTTTGCTAATCAGTTTGATCCCTTTTGTGGCTTAATCGGTTGACATTTGTATTAGTTGGGCTTCGACCCCCTGCCCTCGCCTTGTCAAACGTGCTGCAAATTAATCCCACTTCGTGTTTCATCCTAATTTTACGTACTCCTTCCTGTGTTCTGTCCATTAATTGACAATTGCTGTCGCATCCGTCCGTCACTTTATTCCCATGGATATTTTTTTGCACCTTTTATTTGTCATTTGTTTGCTGTCTGCTTGTTTCTGTCTGTTTATGTGTGTGTGGCAGGACACTAGAATTTCAGTAAAATGCTGCACTGACTCCTTGCTGCTGGCTCTGTAGCTGGCAATTTAATTTAATTACAAGGTAACCCTATCCATCAGCAAAGGGAAAACGAGCACCTGCTGCAGCACACACACACAGACACACAGACACACAGCCAGGACTCTCGCTGGCACACGGACACACCTTTGGGGAAATGCACTTCTCTGGGAGATTGTACGTTTGACTCGACTGCGGCTACAATCAGCTGCGGCTGGTGCTGTTTCTGCTGCTACTGCACTTGGAGGCTGCTGATGGCTCCCGCCGGACTGTGTTTGGTGGCGGGGCATAAGGACGGACTGTAGCAAGTGCCAATTAGGATGATTACCTGCATTTACTGTTCGCACTTGAACACGCGGCCCGCTATCTGAGCCTCTGAACTCTCTGTGCCGCCTCTCAGCATTCAGCGCTTGGTTATGCATTCAGCGGAGATGCCCGGGGACGGACGGACGATTAATCAATTGTGTGTAAATCTAATGAATCCTTTTAGGCGCATGCCAAATGTTGCACAGGAGATTCATTCCAGGGTGCCCGTCTCTTTGTTTCCCCAAATTATTTATCAATCTATTTCTGTGCTTCTTTTTTTTGTACCCATTTCCCAAGTGCCTGTCAACCCTTTTTTCGCCTTAAAAGAAAAGGCCAGCAGCTCAAAAATTAATTTATCAAAATTACCCAACTGGCAACTCCCCTAGACAGTGGAAAGAGCGGCAACAGATGTGGCATGTGGCACAGGAAGACACAGGGACAAAACAATCACATGTCAAATTTGAAACCCACTAAACAATACACAGAGGGAAACGCTGTGCTGGGGCGGACCTTTGGGGTCGTAACTGGAGATTTGGGTGGAGAATTCGGATGGGAGTTGGGTGTTGGAGCAGCTCTGGCTGGTTTTTGCGGGCAGCTCGTTGTGGTCGTAGCCGCGTGAACGTTCCCAGTGCATTTATCTTCATTTCGGGTGCCCAGACTAGCTGCCACACTGCCATGCTTCTACGAATCTTAGTCAAGGTTCACCGCAGCAGCAGCAGCAGCAGCAGCAGATAGCGAGCGAGTGAGCGAGAGAAAGCGATAGAGTAAGACATCAACATCAAGGAAAATAGTCACAGGCAAGAGCCAGGCGAGGTACATAGATGTAGCTGGCTGTCGTGGCAAAAGGTGAAAGGACATCCCAACGACATGACATATTAGAATCCTGTTACGCAGCAGCAACAGTAGCAGCAGCAGAAGTGGCTGCCACAGTGGCAGTAGCATTGCCGGTTGACTGCCAAATTGCCAACATAAATGTCAGTGTGTGTGTGTGTGTGTGTCTGTAGGGAGGAGGCGGAGCAAAGGCGAAGGCGAAGGCGCTGCAAAGTATTTTTCATTCCTGTTGCTTCTTGGTTTTCCATTCCATTCCCCACATTTGTTTTATTTTCTATGCCGTGCAATCACTCAGCCGTTGAAATCTCACATGTGTGTGGCTCTACCCCTCGCCCTTTAACGTGTCTGTGTGTGTTTGTTTGTGTGTAGCTCTGTATCTATGTTTATGTGCGTGCGTGTGGCAAGGAAGGAGATGATTTGGAAATCCTGTATTGCTGATTTGCTGTAGCTGCTGCTGTTGCTGCTGTCGTCGCAGCTTTGCCTTCAGGTGCGTGTTTCGTTCCCTCTGTGTGCTGTTGTGTGCTGGGGTTAAAATCCCTTAAGGCCATGCAATGGATTTCTCTCTGTCTCCCTTTCAGTCCTTCTCTGTGATGTACAACATTTTTGCTGCTTCTGCTGCTATTCTTCTACATAAATTTAATGCAGCAAATCCTTGTGGCCATGGGCGGTATCAGGAAATAGACTGAGTTACTTTTTTTTCGGGGAATCTACAACTAACGAGGGAATTAAAAAAAAAGTGTTGCCTTGCCCCCAGGCAGGGAAAACTCTTGTTGCCTCTTCTGCTAAGATTTTTCCATGTTTCCCAATACTCTGGGTCGTAAGTTTTTCCCCATGTTCGGTAAGCATCTTATCTGAAGACTTGCACATTGCAAGAGGCAACGGAAAGACACAGAGAGAGACACACAGCAGCAGCAAGCGAATGACAAGCAGCGAAATATGACGCAAGCGGCAAAATAAAGGAACAGTCAAGAGTCGCCAAACAATCAGGCGAATGCTGCCTGCCACCAGGTGGTGGCACACACAACAGCTAGAAGACAGGCAGGCCAGGCGCTGCCGCGGAGGTGGCAGCACAAAAGCCAATGAAGACAGTTGTTAAGATGCGAGGGCCAAAACGCAAAAAAGAAGAATCTGTTACAAGGGAGAAAGAAAAACACACACACAAGACACAAGACAGAAGACAGAAGACAGAAGAGGACCTAGGACATGTTCCAACAATGCGTGGGGAGAGTGAGAGGGCAAACTGAATGAAATGAGAAATTGTATAAATATGTTGGCAGGCAGCGACAGGCTTTCCACACAAGATTAAACCTCTGTGGGTGTGTGTGTGTCCTAGTCCTAGTCCTAGTCCTAGCTGCTCCTTACACTCTCTCATGCATTTTAAGAGATTTTCCACTAGAGCCAGCAGCAACAGCAACAACTATGGCAAGCGGCGTTGACTTTTCCCACTCGTCTGACTTGTCTGGTGTTGTCTGTGCTGGCGGGGAGGAGTTGGACTGGGGTTGGGCACGGCAACAAGGCCTTTTACTAGGATTAGTAGTTAACAAGAGAAATCTGTCCACGCACACACACACACACGCACATACAGGAGGGGTGCCGTGCCACAGCCAAAAGGTAATCAGTGAAATGTAACTGTATTGTGTTGGTCTAGCTGTTGTTTGTGGCTGCCCCATTGTTGCTGCCGTTGCGGCTGCTGCTGCTGCTGCTGTTGCCGTGTCACCTACTCCTAAGGCTCTGCAGGGCTCTGCAGGGCTCTGGTACTCTCGAGGCTGCTGCAGCCTCTTAACCTTTTTTTTCGGCTGCTGTCGCCTGACGATCTCTTTTTAAGTAGTTTGCTTTGGGGCTCACCACCAAGGGAGGAGCAGCAGGAGCGCCACCTGATGTACACCCAAACCCCCCGACCCAAAAGGTGACAACGCCGCTTTGGGGTTTTCCTTGCCATTGCCCGAACCCTCTCCACTCTCCACTTTAATTTAAGTAATCAAAATATGCTTTTGACTTTGAGCACTAAGCAGCTGGCATCCCACAACTGTCCCTCTGTCTGTCCTACTGTCCTTTCGTACGAGTCCTGGTCTGCTCTGCATTCGTTTGAGTCTTCTTGGTATGCGTGTGGTTGCCATTCGGCAACCTATATCTCAGTGTCTCTGTGTGTGTGTGTGTCTTCCATGTGTGGGTTGTCCACAAAACCCCAAAAACTATGCATTTTACTGCCTTTGTCGTGCGTGCGTGTGTGTGTGTGTGCGGCCATGTGTATTTATTTGAAAGCTTTTTAAACTTCAGTCAGTGACTTTGTGGCTTACGAAATTAAAATTAGAAATTGGTTTAGAATCCTTCTCCATATCCCCACAAACACAAACACAAACACACAATGGGACACTGAAATGATACTTCTGTGTGCCATTTATGATGGGATTCCTCTCACTCTCCCACTTTCAATGGGAATTAAGTTGCCCAGAAAGTGTAATTAATCAGAGAGTTTCGGTCGACCATATCACATTCCGGCAACGTCGTCGTACCCGTCCCAACATTAGCATATAAATCGCAGATTCTTCAGACCCAAAACTTAATTGCCACATTCATAACACTTGGGACGAACCGAAACTTAACCAGAATCATAGATATATATGTATATAGAAGGACTTTTTGTGTACTCACATTATGACTCTGATCCGTTTTGAGTTCGCGATGATTGGAGAACTGTACGTAGACCATGCGTCCACGCATTTGTGGCGGATTCACTGTGTAGCAGGACACCATCGATGTGGCAGCCATCTCGTCGGCCATTTCGATGAACGCCTGGTTCTTGCCCTTCAGCACGAGGACGTTTGTCACGCGACCAAATGGTACGCCCAGGGCAATCACATCCGATTCACCGGACTCGTTTGGAATGTTCCGCAAGTGGATGACTTTCGAGGCCTTGGCTGCAAATACACAAGAGAACAGAGAAACATTGGGTAAGGGAAAATTGTTTAACCAATTGCAATATTAAACAGTTGACAATCCCTGCCAAACAAAGAGACGCGACACTCTGCACCTCTTTCCCCTCCTTCCTTCTTTCACTTAATGGCTGTCTGCACTTCCGCTTCCGCGCTTCACTTAATTTGTTTATTTTTTGTTGTTGGCTATGCTTTTTTTTGGGGTTTTATTTCCTGCTTTTGTGTGTTGCAACTTGCAACCAAATCGCAGTGGCAACAAAGAGACAGCAGACGAAAATAAAAATGTTGATAACATGCCCAAAAGCTGCCACATTTGTATACACTTTGCACAGTTAAATCCCTTGCAGAGGGAGGGGGAATGGGCGGAGAACGAACCCATAAATTCATTCATTGCACACTTTCAACGGCTGTGAATAATCCAGCAGGCAACACGGCGACAATGTCCGGCAGAAGCAACAGCAACAGCAACAGCATCAGCCAACAGACAACAGACAACGTTTGAGGCTTTTAGCCACTCGCCCGCCATTTGGACCATTCTGTCGGTTGTCTGTCTCTCTCTTGCTGCTCTCTTTTGCTGCTTGTTTGTTATTTTTGCATAAATAAAGCGCCACCGACTGGGGGCACAAATGGGATTTTAGGCTGCTGCTCCTGCAGCTACCTTTGGCCCTGCAACATTTCTGGGATTTCCCTGCATCCATTTCCCTGCAGCACCTGTCCAAAAGTGCCTTAAATTTTTATAAACAAAAGCAAACAAATTTTGCCACTCTTTATAAGCCCCACCCCCACCCCGCAACGGGACACAGGAACCGGAACCAGAACCAAAACCGGACTGGAATCTGCTGTCTGGCGGGGTCTCGTTTCGTGCGGCGCTTAGTCAACACCTGTTAATGTGTTGGTTTCATTCGCTTTTTATTTTGTGTGTGTTTGTGTTGTGTGGCACTTGCATTTGCACCTGCAGCACACACACGAGAGACTCGTTTTTCGGTGTTCATATGCAAATTAACTGCAGTCACCTCACCTCACCTTTCTCCTTCTCTCTCTCTCTCTCTCTCTCTGTGGGATATTTGCTAAACAAGCCAAACACATGAAGAGATGGCCGGAGATAGTCCGTGCTGCAGAAAGTGGTGGCTGCCCCCGAAAATAATTCCCCAATTTAATGGCACGACAATCGGAGAGTGGAGGAACGAGATTCGTTTGCCCGCATAAGTATGCTAGGAATGCCAAAGATTGAAATAAATTGAGGGTCTCTCTCCTTCTCCTTCGATGGGACCTATTGCCCTCGGAGCACCCCGAACATAACTCATAATGTAAAAGGGTCATTATCCGGCCAATTCCCTTCCACTTTCAATCACAGACGCAGAGGCAGAGAGCAGAGGCAGAGTCGGTGGCCAGGTCAATGTGCCGATTTATTATACAATGAAAGAAAAACAGGGCCAACAGGCAGAAGCCTGTTAGCGCCAATGAAAAGGACCGTCCTACAGGCCATACTGTTTTTTTGTTGCTTGTTGCAGGTTGAAGGAAAAGTCGTGCCAACTTTGAGAGGCTCGACCTGGCTGGAACTGCCATTGCCACTGCTGCACTCTGACTCGGGTCTGGTCAGGTCGGGTCACTCTCTCTCTCTCTCTCTCTCTCTCTCTCTCTCTTTCTGAATACAACTAATCGGAAATTACACTTTTTGATTAGTTCGAAACGGAAATGAAGTTGAAACGAAATTATGCAACTAGCCCCCCTGGCCACCCGCCTGTCCCGCTCCGCAGACAGCAACCCCTCCATGCGGTCTGGTCTCGTTTGAGCTCTCGATTCGGCAGCTCAAAAATTTATTAAAAATCAATGGGCAAAAACGATGAAAGCCTCACCATAAATAACAGACCTCCTAAAAAAGAGTGGCGAAAATCGAAACTAAATAAAACCTGTACAGTGTACAGCCCGGAGGCTGGCAGGCAGGCAGGCAGGCAGGCAGGCAGGAAATGTTCTGCAGAAGACAAACAACAAATCAAGTGCCGTTGGGCAGTTGCCGGAAAAACCATCGACAGCGAAAATATGTAAAAGTATCTATCATGCATGATGACGTTGTCGGCGGCAACGGAACAGAGCGACAGAAGGGACAGAAGCGACTGAAACGACATGAAATCCAGGACTAAAAAAAGTAAAAGAACGCAAAAAAAGAAATAACAAACTGCCAGAATTTGTGGATTTTTTGACGTTCGCCCATCAACAACTCAATTTGGTTTTTGGGTAGTACTCTGGAGCTCTGGCAGATTTTTTCGCTCTTATATTTTTTATGATTTTCAGCTGCTGCTGCTGCTGCAGCGGCATTGGTAGATTTGTTTCAAATCGCAACAAACGCTGCTTGATGGTGTGAAAACGAAAAATGTCTGTGCAATGAGCACAAATCGACAAGCGAACTGAGAACAGAGAACAGAACTCCGAGAACTGCGAGAACTGCGAACAAACTGCAGTGAACCCGTTTGCTGAACAGAAAGCGCAGTGGATGCCTTCGGGGCACTGCCACAAAGGCAGACACGAGGACAGGGGCAGGGACAGGGACATTGGCAGGGGCATAATTGAAAAGGAAGATGGCGACGAGCTGACGACGGCCGGAAACACAGCCAACAAGCCCTCGGAGCACAGCTACTGCCTGCCACCCGTGGCAAGCTGCAGTCTAACACAGAAAAAAAGGAAAAAAAGCAAAAAAAAAAAAAAAAAAAAAAAAAAAAAAAAAAAAAGAATTGCAATTTGAATCATTCTGTTTCTGGTTCTGTTTTTGGTTCGGTGGTCGGTCCGGGATTCTGGTTCTGTTTCGGCATTGCCCTGCGGGCGAATTTGTTACGCCAGTTATGGCCATTGCTGCTTTTTAATTAACATCAAGTTAAATAACCCAAAGACAAAAAAACACACAAAAACAAAGGGAAAAAGCTAACTATTGAAATATTGTTTTCCAACAAATATTTGTGCAGCAAACAATGGATAAAAATTGCTGAAACAGCCAGAAGGAGGGAGACAGAGAGAGAGAGAGAGAGGAATGAATGAAGGACAAGTGCAAGGGCTTCTTGGGCAATGAATTTACATCAAAGTAATTATCATGTGATGCTAAATCAACACGAAAAGAGCGATACATTAACTGCAAAAGGGGCAAGAGCACAAAAAATGAGTGCAGCGCGATAAAAATTTGCATGCGATAATGATGCTTGGCTGTCCTGCCAATCCGCTCCCTGGATATCGTATGTTCGGAATATGAATAGCAATCATTCGCTCTGCTGCGCGTTGAAATGAGCTGCAAGCACATGGAGGCCAAAGCTCAACAGTATTAATGAGCCACGCACATACACACACAGGGAGGGAGAGAGAGTGAAAGCGTGAAAAGCGTTTTCAATTAAACACACACACACGGACACACCCATGAGTGTGGCATGAGTTGCAGGAAAAAATATATACATAAATAAACTATTTATAGCTAATTGAAAAGTTTGCAAACTGTAATTGAGTTCGCAGTACGATGCTTGGGCCCCATAATGAATGGTCAGTGGCGCGGACCACCATGACGTATGTGTAATAATTCCACCCCCCGACCCCACATTCGATGCGCACAAAAGTTAATTAATGACAATTTAAATTCATAAAGCAAACAGAACACCGAAACGTAAAATTTGTAAATGAAAATGAATGGAAAACGGCTGGCAAGCTGAGAGGCAGCAGAGAACGAAAGTTGAACAAAAGGCCAGTCCAAAAAGAACGAACGGGGGAATGCCCACACACACACCCTGCCCGACGCACTCCCATCCTGTGTGGTTGAGTCAAAATAAGTGCTGATTGTTAATAACAATTAAATTTATGCTTACACGGCGGCATTTAATGATTTAATGAGAGAGCGAGTGAGAGGCAGTGGGGGGCGAGCGTTTGAGTGTCGTGACGCCAGTGTTTGTCTCGTGTGCCCGCCTACCCGACACAAAACTTTTGCCTTTTGGGTGTGTCAACAGTCGAATATATAATTTGAATAAATACACAAAAGGAAACCCCCTTGCGTCTTTAATTATGCGACAGTAAATTAGATTTTTACAGGCCTCACACATCATAAATTTTAAATTGTTGAACAAACTTCTCTCTATCCTGTCACTCCTCCAGCTTATGTGTCTCTCCATTTGCCAGCTGTTCTCCACTCTGTCTCCCTGTCTGTGTGTGCATAGGGACTTAATGATATTTGCTTTTGGCTGGGCCTTTCTTGTCTTTAATTTCAACATTTGCCATCCACGCATAATCAATCATGGCACAAATTTTCTTCTTCGCTTTTTGGTTTTGTGCTCTTTGGCAGCAAATGAAACTCAATGCCAGCGGCCTTGTTTGCGTTTTGCGTTTTGCATTTTAGCATTTTTATGTTTTATTTTTTGCCTTCTTGGACCCAGACAGGCCCTGTGGCATAAGTGAAAATAACGATTTTCTTTTAGCAGCTCGAGCCTAAGACCCGCAAGAAATGTAATTCATTAAAAAATGTTTCTAGGCTGAACAATTTGGGTTGGGGGATGGGTGCGGTCTGCGGAGCGGAGGAGACCTTGCCAAGAGTCAATGCACGCAGTCTGGGACGCTTACAAATTTTAATTGCATTTCAATTATGAAAAGTGGGAGAGCAAAAAAAACTCTGCACAGGCTATACTCGGCAGCTGCATTGCCTTTTAGCGGAATGCAGACTGCAGCCATCAGACGGCGAGGCAGTCTGTGAGTCTGTGGCAGTAACTGGGCCAGGAATCTGTTGTAACTAGAACTCGCTCAGACTCTCTGCTTGGCAACTCCAGTAAATGTTCCATCAATTGTATAAATTATGAGCACACACACACAGAGAGAGAGAGTAGAGACTCAGAGCCAAGTGCTTCAGTTTGTTAGCCTTTGCAGAACTTTTCCACTCCATTTGTGCATTATAATTACTCAGCTAGAGGGACAGAGAGGCAGAGAGAGAGAGAGAGAGAGAGGCTGCTGAGCCGTCAACGATGCGTATGCTTAATTAAATTGCGCACAAATATTCACTGTATCCGGCACGCACACACAGATGGGTCACAGAGTCAAGTCGAAAGTCAAGCCTGGGCCATACAAACAATATCGATGATGAAACGCTGAACTGTTCAACTAACCGCACACACGTACAGTGCCAGCCATAAATAGCTGCACACGGACAGCGGCTAGCCACAATTGGTGGGGAACGGAGTGGTGGGGCCAAACCAGTTGACAATTGCTGTTTGCCTCCGGTCTGGGCTTGGGTCTGGTACGGATTTTTATCCTTCTTTCAATGCTGTCTCAATATTGATACAGACCGCGTCGTTCCACGAACGGCAGAGCAAAAAATAAAGGAGAAAAAATTATGACAATATTATTTTATTGACTGGGAAAATATTTACACGCAACGCATAGCAGCAGCAGCGGCAGCGGCAGCAGAGAAGAGACGTGCGAATGATATCCGAGACAAGGCGGCATGGAACGGCACGCAGGACACCGCTCTCGATGTCTGCCAAACTGTCGCCTTATTGGTTATGGCAATAAAAGCGTTTAAGTGTTTGACCAGTCCAAAGGGATTGGCTACTACTGCACGCCACTTTCTCGATGACAGCCAGAGTGCTTGGAGCTTTAAATTGATTGAAGCTACAGATTGAAGGGCTTAAGGGACTAGCGGCCAGTGATAACTGGCTAAGCGTGAATTTGAGTTATTTTTTCAACATATTTCCCATCCCGTTTATCCGTCTGCCTGTCTGTCTGCCTGGCGTAGGAATTAGCAATGCTAAAATCAACCGAAAAAATACATTCCGTACGCACGAACAGGCAACAGCTGCAGCTGTGCTCTGACTCCTCACTCCTCACTGCCTGTCTGCCCCTTTTTTCTACCCGATTTCCACACCTTTAACTGTGTGTGTGTGTGTGTGTGTGGACCGTTAAGCCCCCAAAATCGGTCAATAAACAAACAAATGTTGGTGGACTATACAAACAGAATGAGCGAGCGGATCTCGCGGTGTTTCAGCAGGTGATGTTTGAGTTGGAGTTTGGGCTGTGCGGAGTGGGTTGTGGGGGTAGGGGCGATGCATGTGTGAGAGCTGTAACAATAAACAACAAACTGAAACCACACACACACACACAGAGAGAGAGAGGCGACAACAAAGGCAAAATAGACGGACTCTGGCCACGCTTTCACCTACGACACGACAAACGAGACACGCGACGACCCGGTCATGCCATTCATTCGTAGGGTCTAGGGCTCTGGTCTAGACTTTGGGCTTCACAAATTAGCTGCTGCTGCTGCTGCTGCTGTTGCGACTCCCTGGGGCCTCGTACAACTTGCATGAAATATTCCAAATAATAAAAAATCAAATAAATCAAACGAAACTATTTATTAGCAAACTCCTCTCGTCCCTCCCGATAATCCCTCGGCACCAAATGGGCACACTTTCGCATTTCGGTGGCCCGCTACCTCCCTCCTTCCCGCACTTACTACAAGTGTGCTTGAGCCCCGTCCCACACTTGAAGTGGTTGGGCGTGGCTGCTGGCCCTGTGCTGCACATGCCAAAGTGTTTTTATTACATTTACGTGAAAAATTTGTTGCATGTCCTGGCTGCCGTCGCTGGCATTGGTGGTGTCTCGATGTATTGGTTTTAGTGGCACACACAAATACAATTGACAATGCCAAAGGACACGGCCCATATGCGGCGAGCAGGGCAGGGCACGGGCACAGGCACAGGCACAGGAGTCGATAGGCATGACAGTTTTGGGCCAGTTCGTGTGCGCCTTGTGCGTGTGTTTTTCTAAGGCCTCGGCCAGGCAGGCAGGCACAGGACGAAGCCCACAGAGAGAGAGAGAGAGAGAGAGCAGGGCACACACAATGCTCATTGTTGCTTTTTGGATTTTTGCTATTTACTTGTCTGGCTTTTGTTGTTATCCCTCTTGTGCCACTGTTGTCCGCTTCCTTTGAATCCTGCCACATGTATTGGCGCGCTTGCAGTGCAATAAAAGTGTCCTTACACATTTATTTAGCAATTCCTTTTGTTATTATTTTTTGGGCATCGGGCATCGCTTTCACAGCGCAAGCAAAGAAAAGGAAGAAGTACGAAGAGAAGGGAGACACGGAGAGAGCTTTAAGTGGTTTCCATACAGGCAGCGACCACATAAATGAATTCATTGGGATTTCAGGTCCTCGCTCCACACTCTCCACTCTCCACTCTCCACCGCCTTTATGCCCCAGTCTACACCCACTTTTGCCGCACACCCTTTAAGCTGGCCGCGACTTTAATGGAGCAGGACGAAAATCGCTCGCTGCTGCGGCTCTCTGTGTGGGTGTGTGTTTGCACAAGAACTTTGCGTGGAAAATTAAAATGGCCGCAGGTGGCAGGTGTCAAGCAGGAGGCAGGTGGGGGCGGTTGGGGGCAGCTGGCAGCTGGGTCGGTCTGGACGGTCTGCGTATGCATGAACTGGCCACCAAAATGCCGCTGGGTCAGCGCCAGCCGCCTCGTCTGTGGACATCGAACAATGGACAAGCGAAGAAGGGTGAAAGGTGAACCACACACACAAACTGTTCTCCGTGTGTGTGTGTGTGTGTGAAAGAGTGCGTGAGAGAGAGAGAGAGAGAGGGGACAAGGACTGTCTGCTTGTTGCTTTTTAATTAATAGAAAAGTCCTTTGTAAAGTAATAAATAAATATTATGATTCTGCTTTCTGCGTTTATTTTCCATCCTCTCTCGCCGAGTGTCGATTCCATTTTCCCTACTTTCCTTTCCGTTCACTCACTTTTCTCTTTTGCATGTGTTTGTGTGTGTGTCTGTGGGTGACCTTTGACTGTTGTAGTACCAGAAGTGCCATAGAGCTAATGGCTAATTCTCAGGCTCTACGCGCGCTATGAACCTTTTGTCGATCCGATCCCTTTGTGGTTTCAACACTCATCGATGACTGGCGGCAGCGGCATGCCCCCAACGTTAATTACAGTGAAAAATCCCCCGCCCAGAGGCTCCTGCACTGCATATGGCGTTAATTAAATTCGCCTGCAACAAACAACAAAAAACAACAGACAAGAATCGATAGGCTGTAGGCAGGGCAGGGCAGGGCAGGGCAGTGCTGGGCATTGGGTGGGTCGACGAGCAGTCGATTACTTTTGAATTTCAGCCGGAAATTGTTGCCCATTGATTTGTTTGAACTGGCAATCATTTTGTGGTTCAGTGGATTTTTACCCGTTGCCGTTCTGCCATCCGACAAGGCAACCGGAGAGCCAACCAACCAGCCAGCGAGCGAACCTGTCAAATATTTGCCTAATGTGTGGTTCATTCTACTGGTTTTGCGTTCGCTTTGGCTCGCGTTTTGGTTTGGTTTGGTTTGGTTTGGTTTGCGCTGGGTTTTGGTGTGCGGTTTTTGATTAGCTTTATTACTTTGCGGTGCCAAAATGGCAATATGCATAGAGTGGGTTTGTTACACCACTGCGTATGTGTGTGTGCGTGTGTGTGTGTGCGGCTAATTAATGTGCCGACACAGTGCGTGGTCAGTCGGTGTCCTGTGAAACGCACTTTATTTTTCACTCCCTTAATAATTTGCTGGCTAACAAAAGGGCGGTTATACGATGTTCAGTTTTGTTTTGTTTTTGGTCCGTGTGTTGACTGGTTTTCCATGCTAATTAGTAGGTTAATTGGCCATAGGCCACAAAGTGCCTCCAGTTGGTGGAGCAGAGCAGAGCAGAGCAGGCGACTTTTGTGGCCAAGTTTAAGGCCAAGGCAAGGCGGCTAATTGGCGGACACAGTGATTAAAAAAAAACAAACTATGCCTGCTTAGGTTAAGCCAGAGGAAGAAAGAGAAACACACAGCACGGCACAGATGATAGATAGGATAAAGGGAAAATATAGAGGAGAAGGAAACGAAAAATAGTGTAAGAGAGAGAGAGAGAGAGAGAGAGAGAGAAGACTTACCAATTCCGCCGGCCAGCACGGTGCTAGGTTCCAGCTTGGCCTTCTTTGTGGCCAGGTCCTGATTATTATTGTCGGACGCGGGCGCCATGACTGCTGCTTGACTCAAAAGTTCGTCGCTTCCGCGCTGCGCATTCGGTAAATACAGTTTTACAGAGTAGAGATACAGATGCAGATGCAGATGCAGATGCAGTGTGGCAAGAGCGAGGTGGCACAGGCAGAGGCACAAGTCAGAGGCAAAGGCACAGGCAGAGGCACAGATTTGAAGATTGGTTACAGATGGTTTGTTTTTTTATTTTTTTTTTATTTATATATTTTGGTAGTGGTTGTGTAGTTGTAGTTGTAGTAGATGAAGGTATACATTATATACGTACATAAAAAGAGAAAAATAAGAGAGAGAGAACAATATAAATATTTAATATTTACGCAAGTTAAATAAATTACAGAGAGCGCATCCATCTGGAGTCTAGACTGGGGAGTGGGTGGGTCCACGGGGTAGCATTTGCATGTCTTCAGCATTTCGAGGGGGGACTTGTGGCTTGTGGTTATTATCCCAACCCATCATCAGCAGCAGCATCATTCCGCTTCATGGTTTTTGCTTTGGTTTTGGCTGTTCAAATATTTTCATTGCTATTTACAAACCATCCCCCCATTCGGGATGGCCCAGGATTCATCAAACTTAAATCTGCTTGTCCCCAAATTTGAAACCACCACAGAAAAAAAAACAATGCAAATAATTGCACAGCTCCACGGAATGGAGGGTTATATTCATTTGAATTAGCTTTTCGAAAGTTGCGCGTTGTGGTCCTTCTGGTTGGCTCTTATTCCGGGGGTTTTTTTTGTGTGCTGCGCTAAACTCTAATTACAAAGCACATGAGTGTATTGTAATTACATGTGACACTTAATTACGGCACTCACCGAAAGCAGCCAGCAGCCAGCAGCCAGCAGCCAGGAGCAGCAGCAGCTATAGAAATGTCTGGGAATCAGAGGCAGCCGCAATCAGAGTGCCACAGGGAGAGGCAAAGAGAGAGGGCGGCGATGGAGCATCGAGAGTAACCGAGTTAAGCCAAACATTAAACGTAATGCGCCCCATAAAAATAAAGCTGCTACACAGCACAGCCCCCTCGAGCTATGGCTCCCATCCATAGCTACTTCTGCTGCTGTTGCTGCTGATGCTGACTGTATTATCCTCTGGCAGGACTAAGCAGCATATGCCAGTATGTGCGTGGGAGTGGGTCGTACATATGTCTGTTTGTTCAGTTCCTGCTGCTTCTGCTGCTATGCATTAGCGGCAATGACAAAAAGTCAATAAACGAGATGTGGCTAGGGGGAGTGCTCCCCCTCCTGAACCCGCTCCTGTTCCTGCACACCGCACACACAAATTGAAAAGGGTAATTTTGTGTGAAGTAGGCACCTTTATGCCAGCTACCCCCCTTCGATCCACATCCTCCACTCCATCAGCTATCAATGCTGACTACGCTTGAATTCTTGCCACTTGGCTTATCATCCGTTGCGCGCTTTCTGCCTTTTCTGCCTTTATGCTGCTGCCTTTTGCTGTTTTGTTGTTTTGTTGGTTTGTTTTTTGCTTTTGTTATTTGTTGTTTGGGTTTTATTTTTATGTGGCTGCACGTTTTATATGCCCCCTGTACAAACACACAGAGCCACACAACACAACCACAGACAGACACACATATCCATACACATAAAAGAATTAGCTTAAATACAAAAACAACATGTGGCATGGCGTGGCGGGGCATGGTGTGGTGGTGGTAACAGGAATAATAAGAAAAGCCAAAACGCACACACACACACACGCGTAAATGTAATGCACAAAGGAAGAGAGAGAGAGAGAGAGAGGCAGAGAGATTGAAAGAGTGGGCGATAAAGATGAACAGCAGGCGTAGGTGTGCAATAGACAAAGGCAGCAAGATCAGCAGCCGAAGCAGCCGAAGCAGCAGCAGCAGTGACATGGCCGAAGCTTTGCCTTTTTGGATCCTCCGATCTTATCGATTACATAAATCCTCAGCTCATACATTACAATTAAATGCTAAATAAATAAAAACAACATTTAATTTATCAAAGAGATCAAACAGACTGTTTGCGTTCTGCTTATTTTTCGACACTTTCTGCTGTGCATTTATGCATTTAGAGAGGATCCTTGGCTGTGTTCTCGTGGTGTTCTGCCCTTTTCAGTGGGCAAATATGGTTAGAGGATGTCGAGGTTTATTTGCCAGTAGTGCTGATTATTGCTTAAAGCTATTTTCATTCACATAATTCCGATTCAACAGAGTTCAATATACAAAACATTCCCTTGCCCAAATACCTATAAAATTGAGTCTGAGCTTTCGACAAGGTATTTCTGCCTCCCTCTGCGAGCAAGCGTACATATGGCAACCGCAAGAGCACTTCACTTGATAATATTCCAGCAACAACAACAATGCCAGAGAGAGGCCAAACAATAAGAGAGCACAAAAAGCGGAAGTCTCTCCTGCTGTCTGTTCGCGTGTGTTTGGTGGTGGGTGGCGCTGAGTAATGATATCAGATGAAGGGAGGGGAGGGGAAGCTGCTTGCTGTTCATTGTTGTTGTTCAACAGCAGCCGCCAAGCCAAGCCAAGTCAACATATGTTTTCCTAAGCATTTTTTTTTGCCGTCTTCTGGACAACATATTGGATTTCGTTTTACGGAGCAGAGTGGGTGGGAGGAGGAGTAAGGCTGGATTACTGTAGTGGGTAATTAAATTTTAAATACCCTGCACCCACACCCCAGGTGTCTCATGCTCGCTGAGGCTCGAGCAACCCTTTCAGTGGAACTAACTAACTGCGCTTACTTAATGCGAGTCTCTAATGCATTCGTTATGGCACATTAACGCTCCCCAAGTGCCGTGCGCTCCACATGCTACTGGGATTTCGTCGCTCTCTCTCTCTCTCTCTCTCTCTCTCTCTCTGTCTCTCTCAGGGACACGCCACACACATGAGTTTGGGTGGGGGTGTGAGAGAGTGTGCATTACACGGTTCATGGACTCCGGCTAATGCCCTCCGCTACAGCCTGCCAGCTGCCTGTTGGCCGGGAGGATGGTGGGACTTTGCCACGATTTTGCTTTCCTTTTTGCCAAGCTGACCGGAAATGTTATTTTAATATGCTTTCTAAAAAGTATGCTAAATATTTGATTACTAACTCTGGGTGTCCACCATTCTGTACCCATCTCTCCCCCTCTCTCTCTTTCCTTTTCCCTCTTAAAGTGTGTCTGTGTGTGTGTGGCACATATGGCCTGGCCGATAAGCCACTGGGCCACTGGCTACGGCAACTGCCCGCTGTCCGCCGGTTTGTGGACCCAAGTGGACCGTTTCATTGTTGTCTCGCCTCTGTGTGCCATTTTAATGAATTTTCCCACTGCTCTCCCTTTGCGTACTTGCGCCCACTGTCCACCGCCCACCGCCCACTGCCTTTACCGTTCTCTGTACGCCCATTTTTGCTGCCTTTCCCCTTTCCCCTTCCCTCTTTTCCTTCTTTTTTGTTTGTCATAAGCAACGTTCCATAGCCGAGGGCTTGCCCAGTGCCACACAGCGGAGACAGCGGAGGAGGGGACAGGGCAGGGGAGAGCTGTTGGCCAGCACTCACTGATTTCTATGATGACATGTGCCTTTTCATACCCTGCTCTCCGTCGCCTTGTCTCTCGCTTTGCCTCTCTTTCAGCACGTTTCCTTTTGCTTCCGCCTTTGTTGCCGGGTAACTGGGTCAGCGCGCAATTGTTGAAGGGCCCCCATCACTGCCTCTGCCCACTCTAAGGGTTGCTGCTGCTGCTTCCACTGACTCTACCTCTTATTCACTGGTTGCTGCTGCTGCCGCTGCTGCTGTTGTTGCTGGCAGTGGGAAAGATAATCACGCATATGCCTAACGGTTAAGTTTTTGAAGTGCGCCACGGAGACGGGACGGACCCCGGACACAGAGTCCGGAGACGGAAGCAAAGGGGTGTCAGCGTCATCCGAACAGCACAGAGAGATGGAAAGAGCAGAGCAAAGGAGAACCTTACCTACCATCTACTGCTTCTTGGTCTTTATTGTTGCTACTGCTGTTGTTGGTGTAATGAGCAATGCGTAGTCGTTGCTGCCCAGCCATCCCTGGGCAAATGTCCTACTCTGCTTGTACTCCCTTTTGGGGTAGTTTGTTGTTTAATTCCTCGCATGTGGCACATGCGATTTTCTCCTCGAAGACGCTTTAAAAGGACACCCAGAGCAGACCCACAGAGATGTGCGTAATTGAGAAAACAGAGCAGAACAGAGCAGAGAGCGAAGAGGAGCAGTGACCATGGCAAATGATATGCACACCCATGTGATTATCAAGTCAAAAAGGGCTTTGCTTTGGATATTATTAAAAAAAAAGAAGGACAGAGCACAGAACAGGCTTAGCAGCGAGCGCCCAGAGTTGCCTGGACACAAGGCCATACCATACGTAGGGGATAGAAAAAGGACAATTCGCTGACCCAAATTAGACGCCACATATTCGTGCGCTCATCTAATGAGACCACAGCCCTTCGCTTGCCCCGTGACTTGTGATTTTCCAGCTTTAATTCAGCCACGAACTACGCTGATAATAACTCTACCGAAAGGGGTAGGCAGAGGGGACTGCACTCGGTATCAATGCCCTCATATATTGCACGGTTCAGCTTTCTGTTCTGTTCTGTTCTGTTCTGTTTTCTGTTCTGCTCGCTTTGCCTTTGCCGTTGTCATGAAATTTATGACGATGCCATATGAATATTAAAATCGAATATGTTGCTGTCGATTAAAGGCTTTTCTGTGTGTGTGTGTGGATTCCCCATTGCACTGCGTGTGTGTGTGTGTGTGTACAGCTCGCGACACAGATACGAGCCTCAATATTTCCGCTGGTGCACCGGATCGGATCGGTTCATTGATGACGACGACGACTATCGACTGTCGATGAGTCCTCTCTCGTTCCACTTGCATCAATACCCCCTCTCTCCGCCAGCATTGATGATGATGCGATGCTCCTGCCTGCCTGCCGACTGCCTGCCGACTGACTCCCTCCATGCCTGTCTGCCTGACTGCTGCTGACGATGGGGGCGCTTCTGTGGCATGATGGCATCCTTGGTGCAAAAAATTGCATATGTAG